GACAAGACCGAAGGTGATGGCAGGCTCGAGCCCAGACAAGTATCATTGTTACTTTCACGACGGCAGGCGATTATATAACCGATCGGTTCTTTTTTTGTCCCAATGTATTGCGACAAATCGACCGAGACCTTGATTTTCTTTCTTTTTCGCCGCGTCCATTTGCGAACGCGGAACGGCGCCGCGTCATTCTCATGAACTCCCTCAGGAACTTCGACCACCGAGATAACACTTGGACGCTTTGCTCATGCCTCTATGATGTGAGGAAACGTCGGAACGGGAAGTATAAAAAAGCCGACGACAGGTTTTTCGCCGCGGTCATTGTTTCCGCACCACCGGAGTCGTCAATCGAAGTGACAAGCCATAATATTCGGCCTTGATTAAATTGACCCCTAATTCACTTTCTGCCCACAGTGCGCGTTTTGCACCTCAGGTTGTGGCTCGAGCTTGTCGAGTTATACCTCCATCTCTGATGCGCCCGGAACTGTTCTCGAAATTACACAAGGTACCAGACCGAAAAAGGGCGCAAAACGGCGCAATACCGCTGGCAAGATTAGATGGTCGTCTGTAAAGCGAGCCATGACCCGGGCGTGTCCTTGTATTTTGCTCGAGCACTTTTCTTCCGAGATCGGCCCGGTTTTGATCCGAGTGCTTAATTATAATACGAATTCAATTTGGGAACCGAAACTAATCGAGCGCTTCTTCGGGCGACGATGATATCCCCTGATCTCGGTTCGCATCCGTGCTTGAGTTTCTCCCCTCCGATCAGCGACGAGGACAACTCAAATATTAGCGTATAAGAACTGAATATGGAAACTTAAATTCTCAAGTGATTCAGGAGCGCGGTTCAGTCAAAGCTCTGACCCTTCGATAGTAAGCTTTGGTATTGCGCCGCTGAGATGACACAGGTGCTGCTCCAATCGGGAATTCGAACCTATTGATGGTGTTATCGCGATGCGCTATCTCGCGAATGTCACGAATGAGAGAAAAATTGAGAACAGCACTCCGGGTGGAACCTAGCTTGGCTACTGGCTACACAGCAAGGGGATGGGGTGCGAAAACAGAGGAAAAATTGAACACAAAATCGAATTGAAAAAAACGCGTACATTTATTGGACGTGGCAATGTTTAGCAGGATATGGTAAGAGAAGATCTACTGATCGTCATCGTTTTCGAAAATATATGGGAAAAATTAGAATAATGCACAATGGCTCAGAAATAATCAAAGGCCTTCAATGAACTTACGTTTCCATTCATCTAGAAAACAGCGTCAAGCAACCATGTATAGCTCTTGTTCTTATGTATCCAAATCTACGTTGTGCTGGGTATTCCGTTCGACTCGCCAGCTACGATATCTGCTACTTAACGTTAAAAATGATAATTGAAACTAATCAATTCCGCCTAAGGTCATCGATTTAGAGACTCTTCGAGCGAGAAGGAGAGATATTTCCATTGGACTTTTCGGACCCCTAAACTCAAGGCCGTCTAAGGAGCGCCTTGGTCCCTTACTGAAGCCTCAGAAATATTAGCGTCAGCTCCCATAGTCTTCCTCTGCATCTTCGGAAATGATGAGGATGGAGACTCTCTTCGGAGTCGATGTCGATGAAGACACTCTTCGGAGTCGATGTCGACGGAGACTAAATCCTCAATTGATCAATCCCACCCAAGCCGTTCAAGTCGAGCCAGGAAGTCACTGAGAACGAGAGTAGAAACTCCCTCCTCTCTGGCCTTCCTGAGTTCTTCGCTTATAAAGTGTTGATGAGAGTAATCTTTGTCTCGTAGTCCAATTATTGACCAACCCTCGGTGCTTGGTGACCCATGACCACCTACCACACGATTGTGCTGTGATTGATTGAATTCCTTTTCCGATTGATAGGCAGATTAACTGCTCAATCGATTCGTGTGTGCCTTGCTTAGCCAATTGTTTGTCTGCTTAATTGCGTGATCAAATACGAGGTGAATGAGAGTTATCCTCAATGAGCTGTGGGTCCGATAGTTCGAATACATAGATCGGTGAGTGCTCGAGAAACCGATAAAATGAAAGTGATGTCTCGAACGTATAAGTGTCGATGTCCAGTACGCTGAATGAATCAATATGTCTCCCGATTGACGTACCACGGGAAGACGCTACAAGTGCCAATGATTTTCACCTCTTTCAAGTGTTTAGAATACCTAATTCCGTTCTCGCGAAATTCGTCGTTTGTTGATTTTCGTTCGCAAAGGAACTTGTTTAAAGCTTCTTACCAAAGCGGTCAAGCGGCAGCCGACTCTTTACAGAGTCGAACATAAACCTCAAGGTGGTCAGAGTGTTGGTGGCGGTGCTGTTCCGGTGGTCAATGAGTGGGTTTGCTCAAACATCGGGAGGATTTCAGGCTCAACCCGGCGGAGGAAACTGGAATCTCTGCCGGGAGCATGAACTCATCCTTACTTTCCGATATTCCGTTAAGGTATCACAACAATCACGCGATGAGCTTTTACGAAAAACTTAGTGTACGTGCAGAGAATTATCGGGCCTCTCGAACTTCAGCATCTGTCAGCCACCAGAGCTGATTACGCGATCGGTGGTAGGACTACGCCCACTTCTCCCCCATTCGATCCATAGATCTCGAAGGCCTTGGACGTGAGTTGATCAGTGCAGGAGACGTTTTCCGATACCGTTCAGCCTTAATCGAGCCGGGCCCTTCCCCTTTATTTATAAATTCTCGGAGAGAACATTATATTGGAGGAGGCACATGTCATCCTGCAAGATCATTTAGTCAGAATGACGATCAAAAACGAATGCCTCCCTCTACCTCGCGCAGATCATCTACGTCTTGTTGGAAGGAAGACGCTGCCCGGCTGGCTTTCAGACTCGCAACAAGGTCGTCGTGTAGGTGCTTCGGGGAGAATATCTTCCTTTCCGTAGAAAGTTCGAAGAAAAGACGAATGGCAACAATTTACAATGATTCTGAACTTTCCGAATGACATTCTATTTTCCGTCGGGCATCAACCGATCCTCTGACAATCGCATGCATACTCAGAAAAGAGTAGGCTCCGGGGACGGGCAGCTAGAAAGATGGAGGTCGGTTTGAAACATCCATCCCCCCGGGACGACATCCTCATCCTTAATCTGAACCCTCTTCCATGCTCGCTCGGGGTAGACTGAGGCCAATTCCCCATTCGATTTTCTCGTGTTTTTGACGGAGCGATCAGCCCATCAGAAGCCAAGCCCCGGATCCCCATTCGGAAAGATATTCTCCTTTCTGCGAAAAAACCGTGCGCTTCAGTAGACTCTTCCACATGAGAGCCGTCTTGGCGCAAGGTCGTGACTCCGAGCCCTCGAGGGTCATCACCGCATCGACTTCAGACGAGCGGCTGAACGAACGAAGGAACGGAGCTGAGATTCCGGCGGGAAGTTGTCGTCTTTAGTCGGCTCCTTCGTGGAGCCTCATTCGTGACAGGAGTAAACGGACAATCTTCTGGGTTCGTTCAGCGTCAGAAGCCTCATCCACCAGTTCTTGTCCTGGACTGGCGCCAAACTTCAGCCGCCGCCGAACTTGAACTGCGATGACTCATCTCTTCGCCTCGAGGCAAGACGGATCGAACGGCGGCGTCGGACGCTCTACCGGACCCTCCGCTCGGAACGCTTTCGGGATGCTCTTATTTCTCGAATTTTAAGAGCTTCGAGAGTTCGAAAATTTCATCTAGGTTTGATGGACCAAGTCTTCCTCCCAGACTCCTGGGCTCGACAATCGATCGCCTCGACACTCTCGCACGAGATCGCGAGCGCGCAAGCGGGCCGCGCCTCGTGAGTCATGATTGGTAGAGGGGAAATTCCGGTTGTAGTGAGTGGATCTTCCAACTGTTAATTACGAGCTCTGCCGTTCCAAGAAGGCGATCTAACGCTCGATGCTCGTATATTTGAGTCGCTGAGATTCTTCGCGTCGAATCGGCTGATCGGAAGACCGCTCCTGGTGCACAACGTATCTCATTGCGGGAGCATCGGAATTCACAATTTATTTCATCATCGAGAGGGCTGATGTACCATTATATTCGTTCAAAGCCGTTCGTGTGTTTGAGTGAGGCTGCGTGAGAGTCCATCCGCTCTGCGTTGGAGCCAACAGAAAAAAATGAGGGATTGCGACCGTCACCCGGATTCCACTTTTCACACAGAGCATTTGAACGCGGTCGTCCGTGAATTGAACCACATCCCCGATCACATGAACCGTCGGGGATCGTCTGGGTAACAAGACCATTGACACAGGATCACGGGGGCGAATGGTGGCGAAAATAAAGTCCCCCCTCCCCCCAGAATTCGAAGAGAAGCTAGGAAAGATTCCAAATAGAACAGGATGGTATAAATGATCAGCGAAAATTTGAGGACGTCCTCCCGGGGTTCAACATGTCCTCTTAGGATAAGAAACATTTCTCCCGGAACATCGAAAGAAGCCTTCAGGTTAGTTTGAGGCATTATTCAAGCAGTATAGAGAAAGGATGGCTCGACTTTGAGTATTGGGGTCTCGATGTCTCTAAACTTCGGTGGCGTATCAAGTGAACTCAAGATCCAGAATAGTAGAGGATCCCGCGCGTGGTCGAATATAATCTCAAGCTGGTTTTTATCGGATCTCTCATCATCCTCTACCTCCATAAATAACACTCGGCTAAATTCTGGGTAGCAAAGGTTTGATCTGTCGACCCATGATGACGCGTCTCGAACACACGTCTTTCTCCTCCTGGGCGTCGAGACGCATCAGAGGAAGGATCTCAATGGACGACTATCTCAATGAACTCAATTTGCGGACTGTTTCGAAGGAAACGTCCGTGGCCGGCTCGAATAATGAAAACCATTCACTCAGAGAGGTCCATCGGCGGCGCTACCATTCGAACGTGCCAGATCGCTTGAAAGAGTTCAGAAAGCTGCGAACGCGTGTATCCTGTGACAGATTTAACCGAGCTACAATCTTAAACAACTATAGACTATTGCACTCCATGTCGGCCTCTCTGACAACATCCACTCCTACTTACTGATCGGTTTTCATAATCTCCTCCTGGCTTCGAACTTGAACCGGTGCGATTTGATCTGTCGTTTGATCATAGTCCCTTAGGCACTTTGTGATTTTCTCGTCAAACGAACTCACGAGATCTTCGAGGGAGGCGCTGAACGCGCCCAGACTCGAGTCTTCGAAGCCAAGTAAAGCCTCGTTGTTGCCGCCGCCGCAGATGCCGGCACCGGCGGTTTGTTTAGCGTTGTCGTTCCTTGTCACGCTGTTGCCGTCACGTTGGCTGTCGTCGATGAGCTTGTTGCAATTGAAGTCACTGAAGTCTTCCTCGGCAGAGGCCAGAGGCGCCTCGGCAAGCAGTTCGGAGGCCATTTTCACGTCACCCATCACCATCAGAGCCGTCGAGCTCGTCAGACTGCGGGCAGCAGTAAGAGAGGATGATCCGCCCTTACCACCGGCTCGGCCGCGACTTCTGGAAGAAGAACAGAACCGCCAGGCGGCGTTAGTATCAGCGTGACCGACGACGCCTCGTTTACCAAGGCACGAGAGGACCGCGCCCATTACGCAGAGTACTTGCACTCTGATTGACGGCAGAATGATTTGAAAGCAGCTACAACGAGACTTTGTCTCCTGGGAATCAAATTCCGACACAAGGCATCTCGCCCTCTTAGCACATCGATTCTAGCGCAATAGGAGATTCCCATCGCTCGGAGTCACAAGCGCGCCGTAACAAGATATCTGACTCTGCAACACGTCTACGATTGATCTGAGGAATCTGCTGCGAAGTTCCCCAGTGGCCCACAGATTCTATGTTATGAAGACAAGTCCTCGTGTCAAATTGCGACTTTCTTCCTCATCGTAGGTCGAAGTTCTTCCCAAGTGCTACTTGAGTTCGATATTTGACGATGCTCTTTGGAAGATGGGGAATATACATATAGCCTAGAAAGCCGCCGATCGGTCTTATGGACGAGATCTGTCTGAAGTGCGGCGATTTTTATGGAGTGGCCTGCACATCTTCGTCTGATGAGAGCCTGAGTGTCTTTCCCAGTTTGAACTCAAAAACATATCCCTCTTGACTCGGACTCGGAATCAGTGACCAAGTACCTGTAGATGGAGGAGCACTCGAGCGCCGAATCTTATTACTCGGACACGACATTCCACAGGCAGAAGGTCGGTCAGCGTAACAGAAGTTAGTGTTTCGTGTCAACCAGAATCGTTCTCTCGTGACAGGCGTCCACGCGGGTCAGACCGGTCACATGCTGAGCACATACCAGAGACCTCTCTCGGCCGCTTGTATCTATCCGATCAAGTTTTTTTTCCAGCGCTCGGTCAGATGGAGGACCTTGAAAAGCTCTTGAAGCGACTATAAACTCTAGAAGATGCACTCACCCCAAGAGAACCGCCTTCAACCGACTCGCTGCGTTCTGCGGATGGAAAAACATTATTTTAGAATTACAGAAGTGGAGCATCCATGCGGGAGTCTCCCAATTTAAGGTGATGTATTTTGAGGCTAGTGCAAGCGTTCTTAAGACCGTCATCGGGATCAGCGGGGTCCTTCGCTCAGCTGGTAAGAGGACAAATATTGAATGTTTTATTTCCGAGCTTGACCGTAGAGAAACCCATCGTCTGAGATCGCTCTGTATTTGCTCCTCCACGAGTTCGATGCGGGCTGGCATGGTCTCGTAAAACGAGATCCGAGCTCACCGCTAACGCGTCATGTCCGCTGGTCACGAACCTCGTCTATCAGGCGAAGGGTTTTGCATGCATGAAGCACGTTCCACAGCCTACACTAGTCATAAAAGAGACCGCTCCCCTTTGATAAGGCGCCGGGAACGATTTCGGCCTGTCTTTACAGTACGGAAGCTCCGTTTCCGAGGTTTGAAAGGCTCGACGACCGAGATCGAATCTGAGGCGGGTTGTTTCCGCTCTCCCCGATCTAAACCGATGGTTGGTATGAGAAGAGGTCAGGATCAGACGTAAGGTCTGAAGAGCTCGACGAGGAATCGACCCTCTTCTCTTTCCATCCCTAAGGCTTGCACAGTTGCGTTTTGTCCGTGAGAGCTCATCGGGGAGCGGATCTGAGCAAGGTCACTGATCGCGAGACCCTCCTTGACACAAGAAAAAGGACTCTAATGCCTTCCCTCGATTCCATACTCGCCGATCCAGAATAGGTACATCTCGGATGCACGCACGAGAACTACATGGTCTCAGGTCAGGATCACGTTCCCTGTGCGACCGGTACAATGGGAAGTTCACGTGGCTGTTCGGTACATGTCATTTTCGAAGCGAGCAGACGAATCGGAAGCTCCCACGTCAAGAGGGAGGGCCGACCCGGTACGTGAGCGCGAGCAAGCTTACATCATCGGCAGCGAGAATCGCAAAATATTGTCGGCAATAATCGGTACACCGTCGCGAGCTCACAGATAAGAAACCCAATCCGCGGAATCCACAGGAGTTTTTTCCCTCAGCTGGACCCTCGCTCCCTCAGGACGGCATCATTGAACAACTCTGACAAGCAGGCTGACAAACAAATCATTCTGATTGGCGACGTGAACTTGAGAACTCGTTTTGCCTCGCTGTCATCGCAAGTCAGCCTTGACAGCGTTTGTGTGGGAGAATCTCCTTCGAAGTTCAAAATAGAATATCAAAGATCCTTCAGAGAAAACGCTCGTGGAGTGCTCAGCCCGGCTTCCTGATTTACATCATCAATCAGAAATCAAACGCTCGCCGACTAGCATCATGATCGAAGAAAGCATCAGTATTCCCGATTTCCATGCTTGAGTGGGATCGAGCTTCGTCAGATATTCGCATCAGCTCTCGATTTAGAATAAGCGCCGCTTCCGTCGAACTCCACGCCCACGAGAAATATTCTAAATGCGATCAATATTCACAAACAAAATCTCGAGGTCTCCCAGTGGTGGAGAGGATTCCGCTTCCTGAGTATGCGAGAGTTTGAGTGTCCACACGGCAGGGATGTTTCGCTCGGAATCGATAATCCTACCGAAGTCGCATGCTTTTGGCATTCCTCTAATCTCTGCGGGAATCAATTGCCCCAAAGTCCCGCATGAAAGGGACCTTGAATGATCATCATCTCAATTCTCATTCGATCCCGACTCCAGAGCACACGCTCGTTGGCAAGCGCCGGCCTGTGCCTCAGAAGATATGCAAGGCCTGGAGGCGAGGAAAAGTTTGAGAGATAATAATAATCCTCCTGGCGCATGTCTGTGCAGGCCCGACCCACTGAAAGCTCATCATAGCCGGCACTAGAATCACCCAGATACATGCAATGAATCGAATTGAACAGGTCTCTGCTAGAGCGCTCTCGCAGGAACTCTCGCTCAACAGACTCGACCCATAGTCTACGATATCGGTCTTCTCGAGATGGTTATCATGGAGAGCCTCAGTCTGAGCGCTGATCTGGACGTCGGAGAATGAGCTAGGGAAGCGAAGACGAGATTTGGAGTCAGCTTCCCTGCCAGGGTGTTTATGGGAGAGAGCAAGAGGAAGAAAACTTGCTCGAGTCAAGTAATCGGGTCACTCGTAAATTTGATTCTGTCCAACAACAAGTCCGAGCTAAGCTTTCTGTGTGTTGTAATCGTTCTCTCCTGTTTCTCCGCTTCGTTGTGGTGGTCATCGACATAAACTCGTAGACAAAAATGTTGACTTTCTCTTCGTCCTGCTCAGGTGAGTTCTCAGCGAGAGAGAGAGAGAGTTCGCCGCACTCGGCCAAGCTATCTGGGTGGACGAGTCAACGGGTAACCCTCGCCATTTCTCGGCCTTCCTCTCCCAAACCTTCCCGACACAGATCAATTCCAGCGGGACCATTACTTAAAGATTCATATACATGCATTGAGGAGTTGACGGTCTAATCTCTCGTTCCGGTATTCAATGAGTGACTGAGAGAGGGGCACGCAAAGATTCGGTTGAATTCAAGCATCCCCTTCTGGACAGAAGGATGAATCGGAATAAAAAAACTCGAGTTCCATACACGGATCAGCGAAGCTCGACAGCTGGATCGCGACCTGGAGAAATTCCCAGAAATATGCATGGTCCCGACTTACACTTACAGCGACGACTGAGGCAAACTATCACGCTTATTATTATCAATTACGATTATTGCTCTCGCGATTATATTCACCTTCTCTTCTATTCTTTCATTGTTAGCTCGAAGCCAGCTTTTGTTTTCACGAGCCATTCTTGCTTGAAGGCTCCGGGATAAGGTCATATTTGATCTGAACTTTTGAATGTGTGTACAGCGAATAGCATGAGGGAATAATGAGTATTCAAGTCGTGCAAACACAGCAACTACGCTCTTCTTGTATTTCGCTACTCCCGAGCCAAAACGAATCGGAGGAGCAGTGACATATTTTACTCCGGTCAGTACTTCAGCTTAGCTGGGAAACATCGATTTTCCCTCCTCGGATTCCCCAACGATCCGAGTGAGAGGAAGAGACGAAACTCGGAGTGCTCGAGAGTGGTTGAGTGGTAGCATATTTCCGGTTATGTGAAAGCCAGTGCAGCCACCGGAAGCCGCCCAGCTCGAAATTTTTGGGTTGGGTCATGTTATTAGAGCCTGTTGACAGTTAGAGAAGCAGTGCAAGGTGGAAAACTGCTCGGCCCTACCGGAAATCGGCTCCCATTGGCGCGGCACGTCATGCAGCCGACGGACATGATTTCGCGTCGATAACAATAAATTGAAATTGCTCGATTCCTGCCCTCAAATCTGAAAGTAGACGCCTGAGTTTGTTTATCTCCCCTTTGCTCATCGGATCAACTTTCGCTCCCCATGTAGATCTCGAGTTCACATGCTGATATTTTGAAGATATTGGAGGGACCGTAACCCCGTTAATAACCCCGTAAACGCTTTGGCGTCTTATCCCCTGAGCTTTTCGGCGAAAGCGAGTCATTTCGCACCACTGAATGCTTGCAATCGACAGTAAATGCCGCTTGATACGGAAATATGCCCTCGGAAAGTTTGCATTCATGGAAATATTTGTCCAGTGAGAGGACCTGCCCTTCAGCTCATCGGAATCGCTATAGACGCATCGAGAAAAGATGCGCGAAAACAACAGAGCATCACTTGTTCGCTGGAACGCCTCATTTCCATAGAAATCAGGATAGGCGCCGATCTGCACCCGATCCGAGCTTTTCGCTCCCGCCTCTAATGGATAGATGCCTGAATAATTGAATGAATAATAAGCGTCGAGCCCCCGTTTCACAGGGCCTTCGCGAAGTACTTCTTGGCTTCAAAGAGCACAACGGAGTCCAACTAACGTCTGACGGAGGTTCCGCTCGGGGAAAAGCGTGAATAACATGACAGAAGTTGGTGAGGCGCAGCTAAGGCAGGAGGTAGTCGATTCCACTTGCACCACTACCGCCGTACGCGTCGGCATGAGTCCAGAACTTTCCTCAACTCAATGGAACGATTGCTCAGTTGAGTCTCCCAAGTGACTCCCAGAAGATCTCAGGGCGAAATAGAGACGTAGACTTCCGTGACGGAAAAAGAGCTCTGAGTACAACAAGCTTCCGAAAACCCCAGCGATGCAGAACCGGGCTTCTCTAATTGTGAGTCGACGATAAAGCCGAGGTCGGCGCGCAGGCAACCGCGGCGATGTAAGTCCACCCCAGACTATAAATCATCAAGCCTCGATAATTACCGATGACGAGATAACCTGTCTGGAACTCGCTGGTTGCTCGGAACTTTCGCAACAGAAACGCAGCCATCACAAGACATTCCCGAAAGACACTGAACTCCCTTCTGGGATATGTCGCAATATGAGCCCTTTCGCCGGTAGTTATGACAATTAAAAGAAGGCCATCCCTGATATTCGGATCCCCATGCGGGACTTCTCTCGGAGCTCCGTTCCCTGTTCCAAAGAGGGAATCGACCAGAACAGCAGTACTCGGGAGGGCGAATTCGTGTAGCGGCGAGTTGCAATGCATCAAGTATTTTCACATTACCTTTCCGTGCACCATGGCAGCGTCGCAAATTCGAAGCTGAGGATCTGATGTTCCCGGCAGATAAAAATAGCGAGCTCTTCAAGACATTGAAACTCTGGGTCGGCTCGGAGTTTTCACTTCGTCTGTCAAGTGTATGAGCACCTGCGCAATCCACTTTTCGGGCGGGAACTGTATTCGACGGAGCGGAGCTTCAGGTGAAAACAGTGTAGCTTCTCGGCTCACATAGTGCGAGTTCAGGTTGCTCGAGCCACCTGTGAAGGTAGCTTCGCCTTCCTATGATGCCACTTCGCCAGGCTAGCTCTGCTGACAAACGCGTGGCGAATGGAGAGGGCGAGTGGAGATGGAAACAGGGTGGGGTTGATATTCGTTGGAAAATCTTCGGTTTCGGCACGAAAATCAGCGATTTCTCGAAGCACGAGCGCTAATTAGCTCGCCAGGACCTCGGTGGTCGTCTGGGCAAGAGTTTGGCATGAATTACTTTCGAAGAATTTACTCACTCCCATTAGAATCGAAGGAGGGACGTACGGGAACTGCGTAGTTAAGCAGAACATTTGAGTGAAAAACTAAAGTCGACGACCTTGGATAGAGCATCAGCAAGGAACAACCACGTTTGGTTACCAGCTGATGCTTGACACTGCTCTGACCACCTAAATCAGAATCTTATATGATTACATTCCGATATATATTTCGATCCGGAGATCAAGGAGCCCCGGCGAGAAAGAGGGCACGGAGCAAGGCTCTTCCTGTCGGAGAAGCCCAAATGCACTTCGAGTTTTTTTGCCTTGAATCTGAGCAGATCATATCAAGGATCCTCGGAAGGTGGATTAAACTGAGGGGGGAGCTTGCTCTCGGTACACGTGAGTCATGACACAAATGTCGCTTGGACACTGAAATCATGACCATCTGGCCGACGGATGGAAGGATACTGACAATGGGTCGTATAAGAAGGACCAGACTCGTTCGGGAATCTGTCCGACTCGATTCAATCCGTAAAGCCTTTCCGGGGACTTCTACGATCATTGGGCTTAACCAGGGGGAATGCAGGGCCGCTGGCTGACTCTAGCAACAAACCGCCGGCATCGAGCGGTTCCATACGGCGATGCGAAATCGATAGCGCTAAGAGCCAGGACATCCCATCGAAATTCTCCCCGGATTGTCCTGTACCAGTCCGTCATGATAAATCTTGTCTCTCGGCTTCCGAATGCACCCACCGAAAAAAATTGCCACCGAAAATTACAATGATCGGATATCATCAACTTGACTAGAATCTTGCTCTTTCAGGAGCTTGTCGACCATTTGAAAGATGCGCGAATCCCGAAAGCGGCTTCGAGTGATCTCGATAAATCTACTGGCATCTATTTGATCGTATCCGAGTGATCCGTCACGCCCATAGAAAGGCCATAAAACGGAAGGTGTGCGCGTGAGAGCTCGTGTGGCCAGAATTTCTTCAATTTTCGTCTATTCTTGATGATTCGCAATGTTTGGTCTTCACGGAGAGGAATCGAACGAGAATTCTGGCCAGCTCAGCGAGCGCTCACTCCATTACGTCGAGCGGCTCTCCGCGTGCGATGTTAACTGTCCTTTCACACTGAAGATTTTCTGCGGTGTTTCGCTGGTCACGGTCGAAGAGAAATCATCGAGAAAATAGAGGGGTCTAATTTCGAGCGATCACCGGAGCCGCTTCATTCGATTCGCTTTGTGTTGTCCCAAAATATTCTCCCAGCCATCGGGAACTCAGTGGATACGGCTCGCCCATGCTTCACGATTTCTCCGTCGAATGACTCCGGAGGGAAACTCATGGGAAAACGTCCGAGATTGCAGGATGGAAGCAAATGGTTCGAAAAGGATCTCGAAACTACACGTGAAGCAATTTCTGCGTGATAATTCTAAGTGATTTGAAGAGCTGATGTTAGCCCTGAGGGGCATTTCGATTTCGCGTGGCGCCTCGCCGGCTCGGTGAATGCAAGAGATATTAAATGAAACAGGCCGGCACGCGAACGCAAAAATTGGCCAATCGTCCAACTGTATGCGACGAGCACCGAATAAACGTCCGAGACGTTCCTCCTCCGCCAAGAGAGAGTTCTCCCAAGAGACAGCGTCCACCTTTGATATTACACAGAACGTCGTCGACATACCTTCGATGGATCTCGACACCGCGTCAATATAATTTGGAGTCCGAAGATTCAGAGCCGGAACGATCCTGTTTTCGACTTCTGCAATTTCGTCATGAATCGAAAGTTTCGAGGCTGTACGGCTCGGAGCCGAGCCCGTCAGGACACTGAGGCCTGCCTGATCGCCGAGGGCCTGTCCGATCACCTCAGCCCACTATCGCTCTTTACGAGCCCATTCATGACTTTGACCTTGTCTCTACACGTTAGCTCAACTATGAGAAACAGGAATAGCTCAATCGAGAAATTCGGGAATCGCTGCCTCAAATCCGTCTGAGGTCTCGTCATGAAGACTCCCGTCTGGCGAAATTGTGACACTACAGGCCAAGAATCAAGATGGCTCCAGCTCACTGAATGTCTCGCAAGCAAGTCCATATTCCATCACGAATAGTCAGAGCCCTTCAAGTCCGAGAGGATCTGAGGGCAAAATAGGCGTCTCCAGCCTCGCATCGGTGTCGCCGGCAGGAGCGCAGTGAAAAGTTCGCGAGTTTCATATGCCGGAGGTGCGCGAACCCGGAGGAGTCCCTCAAGCGTTAGATCGCCTCTGCGTGGGGCTGGAGATGCGCTCGATCCAAAATATCTCGACGGATACAGAAGGGACTGACTGAGCGCAGACGGAGAATACAGGAGCTTCCCGCCCGAAACCGTTCCATTCGCCATGAGTCAGAGGTGTCTCCGCCCTAGGATTCCTGGCGCCAACGTGTAATCTATTTGTTGTCCTGCCACAGTGACAACTCACTCCGCAGAAGTGGCAAGCCTGGCTCTGTCTGACGCCAGGCTCGGGTCCCATCGGAGGACTCGTTCCCGACGGAGCAGATGCGTCCACTCACTCCCGGGCTCGGTCGTTCGCGTCCCGCTCTCGTCCCCGTTGTACTTGACCGGAGACCGCCTGCTACTCGAATATTCCTTATCGTCATCGTCTACGCGAGGTGAATAATGGATTACATCGGGGTCTGAAGTCTTCTGAGAGACAGAGGACGGCTCGAGGAGCTCAGATTTATGTCGAGACGAAGAGTGAGCTCCGCTACAGACGGGACTGTGGAGACGACGCGGTCTAAGCTGAGTTTTGCGTCTGCCCGACCTTGATAGACACGGCTCGCACTGTTCCTAATTGACAAGTTCCCAAGAATAGCGGCGCATGTGAAGAGAGGGATGAAAGGATCTACACTCTATTAGATTTGGATTAAGAAAGGTGCTCTTCTTCATCGGGCGGCGGACAAAGGTGCGCGCTCGAACAGCAGCTCGGGTTGCCCAACGCCGACTGTGCCCTGAGGGAGAGGAATAGTGCAGGCGTACGCGTTGCCCGACTCCTGAAGATGTCTGGTTTCATCGAATTGTGGTCCTCGCTGAATTATTTCGGAATCTCTCCTCGGGAGGTTTCCGGAGTTGAGGGGCACCCTGCCGCACTCGATTTCGTCGCCAGAGAAGGCTCGTCGTGAGAGCGCACGATGAGGAGTTCGAGCCCCGGCCTACGAGTCTTCCAATCAGGGGGAGATCTCTCAGCCATTCCTCTTTCGCTGGATCGGCTCAAACCCTAATCGAAGGGTTTCTTTTCTGTGCAATATCTAAGGGAAGTCCAGTCTTCCAGTCTCGGGACGGACGGTCCTCTAGGTTTTGCAACCTGTATGCAGAAGTTCAGTGTCTGCTTTTCCAGACACCAGGACCCAGGAAAAAGCTGGCAGCGGAGCTCACCCCTGACGCAAATGTTCCAAGCTTCGATCTATAAAAATGAAACTCACCTCGACAAGTCGACCAAGAGTTCACACGGCACTTCTCGATATCCACTCGGGGTGCGGTTCAGGATAACACAACTTGGACAGGAGGGGTTTGTAGAGGGCACCACTGTCTCCGGAATTGGTATCGATCAGGAGTACGCCTGAGGGCGCCACTATCGTGGCACCGAGTGCTCTATGCAAATAATAATAATAGATAGTCCCGAATCTCGTTCTGTCCGATCGAGTGCTTCAGACTCCTACGATTGCTTGGTGAAGATGTGGCACGAGATCCCGAGCATGCTTACATTTTGAGATACGAGACAATAGGAGCAGCCCCAGCAAGACGATACCCCGAATACCTCGCTCTGCGTCCGAAATTCGTCAAACTCTGAGAGCGGAACTGGCGGAGATTCCGAAGAGGTTAAGCAGTCTAAACCATTGGGGTGGAGCGGCTCTCCTTCCACCGCGTGACTCAATTCCGCTAAGGCAGTCAAGTTCCACCAGGTCCGCTCGGAAAGCTCGAGCTATGGAGCATGGCCGGCTAGGATTCCCCGGCTGTTTTTCGAATCGGGCTCCCCTTCCCTCTCCACTAGACGGCGGGCTCGTTCAGATGACTTTTCGTTGGCTTGCGCCTCACTCAGATCTAAAATAACAAAAACAAATCTTCTGAGTGAGATCTAAATGAGCCAACGGCACCCGGCGCTGTGTGCGGATGCCTCCCCGCGCCTGGCGATCTTATGGTAATTCTTTCTTTTTACCTCCAAACCGGATTATCGATGATGACTGACTATTCATCTCACATCACTCCGGATTATCGACGAGCTGGCATCGGATTCTCGAATGCAGGTGATATCTTTTCGCTGTGGAGGCTCCAATGTCGGCTATCGGGAACCTGGGGGGAATAGACATGTCAAGGGATTGCCCTTTAGAATATATTCGGTCAACTCTTGAGCAAACTCGAGGCTCTTCGCTCCACTTCGCGCTCGGAGTGGCGGTGACTCGCCTCCGTTCCCGATTGTGCGAGGGAGGGATCGCTGGAGCAAGGGCGGAAAAAGTTCGTTCTTCGGCGTCCTCTGACAAGAAGACCAGGGAACAATGAATGATATCTCTCCTTTTCTCCCTACAGCTACCCATAGTTGAATGGCAACATGTATTGAATGCTGCTTGAGCTCGAGCGGCTCGTCAGGAGTCAAGACTGACGATTGCTGTGGATCCCTCGATGGAGTACTAATGCATCCGCGAATCACCTTCGGTGATCAGCCGGTGTTTCCAGCGGGAACAGCCCAGTCAGCTCATCGTTCAAATGTGGCAAGACAGACTCACCCGAGCAAGGTAGGTCCATCTCGACTTCCCGTCCTATTAATGACTCAAATTCAAGGAATTTCGGAGCTGTGATACGATATCGCCCATCATTGATGATGCTAGAAACCGGAGGATATTAAAGAAGTGAAATTGTCCTCTCCCGTAGCCTATATGGACGAATCCCGGGTGAAGATCGAGACCGAAGCTGCTGACCCCTTGCGGTTCGATCAGAGTTTCCCTTCAAGCCGAAACCCGCGATGGATTTGGGTCGATTTGCTGAGCTGTATCGATATCGGCGGGCCACCATCGGACTTCCTACGCGAAGAGTCGGAGCTGAGGATTCTCCGGGAACTTCGCGGAGACTCCCAGGACTACTAGATGGAATATACGCACTCCCATTCGCCTAAATGATAATATCGAAGACTTGGAGCTCACTCCAGGCCTCCCGGGACATGAGACATGAGTCGATATAGCTCGGGGCATACATTTTCACTTGATTGTAGAATGTGGAGGGACAAACCAGAGAAACGCGAAGAGTGAATGACCGGATGGGTAAGTCTATTCTTCTTCTTCTCGATTCGAGGACACCAGAGCAATCGCAACTTGGGCCACGACTCTAAATCCGAGTTCGCAAGAATTCGGAGCCGATTGCTAATGAGGATTCGCATCTCCTCATCTTATCGACAGCCGGTGGCTGCTCGGTCGGAGATTTCTCAGAACACGAACCGGGTGGAAGTTCCTCGACCATTTGCTCGAATCGGCTCACGCTGCGGGCCATAGCTTCGATTCCATCACGGAGAACCCGCTCAGGTTGGTACTTTGGAAAAACAGCACAGGAGTTTCCCTTCGATCCGTTCCAATGAGCTTCCTGATAATTCCACCCGGTGTCCGTAGGAATCAATCAATCGAATCCCCGGTGTTTTCCTCTCACAAAACTCTGACTGTGTGACGTGCATTGCAGTTTATGAGGACTCTTCAGGATGCGGCGCGGGAAGAATGCGTAAAGAGAACGAGATGCATGGGATCGGGATTTCCAGAGTGATACTAATTGTAATGGTCGGGGAAAGCCGCATAGGCTCCGCTGAGTTCGAGCTTATAATAAAATTCGTCTAATCGACCCTCGAGGATAGCTTCTAGGATCTAGATTGTGAGTCTACGACATCATCGTCGGCCGATCTCAGGATCGCACACCAGGCGATCAGAACCCCTCCACTGGCTACCGATACCGATCAGAGACGCAGCGTCGAGAGGCATCTCCTGTATTTACAGAGTATCCGCATTTTTCTCTGGAGATTTTTAGAGACGTCTACTTCGGGTGACTTTTTGTTCAGCGCGACGCACCTCTGCAAACCCGAATTCCTCCGTCGGAATCCCCAGATACGAGAACGCCTCATCGCGGGGGTCTCCCCTTCTCCCAAAGCCTTGCGATATCAGTACACCCCGGGCTAGCTCGAAGCCCACCGGATTACAAGGGAGCATCCCCTTGTCGCACTCTACTTGGGACGGACAAGACCCTAACCAGAGCTTCGCCGTCGAGGAACGAGCGATGAAGAGGAGCGAAGGCGGCTTGAAAAAATGAGCGGAATTGGTATCCGGAAGGAACGAAACAGCTAGTTTGAAGGGCAGTGAGAGAAGGAGGGGATGTTGAAGCCGAGTAGGCTTTCGACTACGTCTCCCCGGGCGACGTTCCCGAACAGCGCTATCGAGTCGAGGAATCGTTCTTCTGAGCTCACGTGTCGAGGGAGTTCGTTCGAGTTCAGACTTAAACCGATACGGAAACTCGGCTCCATTCGTCTCGCTTGCAGCTTGTCGCTATCATCTCGTTCTGTGTCGTGTCGTAATATAAGATAAGACTTGGAGCCGCTCGGAAGATCCGCGTCAGGCTTCGGTAGTATCGCTAGACTCCGAGAATCGGCATTTCAAGCTTCGGGAAAAGAGATCAGAAGAATTACATTCCGGTAATCTTTCCGCTCCCGCAACCGCGCCTTCCCTGGAATTGGATTGCTACCAGCAAGTTTGGACGAACGAGAAGAGGCATGGCTGGAGCATTCCATTGATTGGCTCGATCGCACTTGAAGGAAGCTCCTCAGTGATGCCCTCCTCCGACCGTACCTCCAGATACAACTCCGATCGGTGTCTGCTGGTGCTCGGTCCGAGGGTTGAAGCGCGGTCTAGTCAAACTACTCGGGTGGATAACAGCTCCGAGAATCCGAGCAACGATTTTATTGAAACCATCGAGAGGCTCGGTACATAGGTCTCATCGCCTTTTGCCAAACTGGAATCCGCCTAAACTTGAGAAGATTTCATAATCATCCATCCATCTATGTATCTGTCCCGGCCATTCGTGTTCCTTTATCAGGAGCTAAACGCGCTCCTTGCTAAGACAAGATTAGCGATGTGAGACTGCGTCGGAGATGCTTCTATCAGATCGTTCTCGTCAGGACTCCCGAAAAGTCCTGCCGGTCGTACTGCTCAATACCAATCGATTTCTGCTTTCCCCGAACGTGTTCTTCCCGGGAAGTCCCCGGCGAAGGCATTCGTTCAGAGGGCGACTCGGTGATAATTGGTGGGGATGAACTGTCTGCCTTCTTTTCGCTGGCCCTTGTTAAATGATGAGAAATGTCGTATCCCTGCCGGCAAGGATAGTTTCACCCCAGGAAGGCTGACACGGCGCGTGGCGGATGTCAAGCCAGATAGACTAATCCACGATTTGAAATTTTGGCGCGCTACTAGGACGATGACGTCATCTCCGAATGAAAATACTACTGTTCAGGGCCATCCCAGCTGAGTGATGGATCCAATGGAGAACCTTTGTTCCCAAGCCATCCGGTCGAGCCTCGGAGCATGCAGTCGAAGAGGTGTTTCGTCTTAGGGCTTTGTAGTAGTGCTTTTTTCGCGGTCGTTGAGTAGCAAACCGAAGGAAATTTAATTTAACAATGACACCGAGGGTGTGCGGGCTTTCCGAGTCGGAGAAGAGACGGCGCCGCCTATTGAACAGGGTGAGTTCGATTTCATCGAAATGAGTTCCATCGACGCTGTCTAACAGAGCTCAAATCATCCGGCCCGACTGGCCCGCAGTTCGAGTGATGTATCTCTGGGAAACAGGAGCTGTGTCGTCATTGATGAAGAGATTCGTGAGTCACCTTTTGTTTTGGTAACTATCGCCGAACGGAATAGAGAGCACCGGGTGATGTCAGATTCTAAGCTGCACTCCGTATGCTCGGATATCATCGCTCGAGTTGCGGGAATATCGACTCCAGTCCCATGGCGTGTTTAGTGCGAATTCTTCTAGCGGTCTCTTCTCTTTCTGTATGATGCAACCTATTCGTCAGAATCGTCTCGCGATCGGGTCCCTTAAAGATCATTCAAGAATGAACTCTATAGCGCAGGCATTACCCAATCTTCATTGGGTAGAGACATTATCGATGTCGATCGCCCGAAGGACGACTCAGGTTCTAAATATACTGTGAGCTGTGACGACCCATATCATCGGCTGCGCTCAGGCGCAGAACTTCTCAATACCTGATGCTAGAGCACTCATGTCTGCCGGCCTTGGTTGCATTCTCATGCGCCGTCCCGGACTTGCTCGGAGAATTCTTCGCCAACCTCCAGTCTCGGGGGCTTGGTTGGCGTCTTCGACGACCGGTGAAGATGAGAGGACTTTCCAGTATACCAGTCTAAGAATCAAATGTATTCAATTCTTTCGATCTTCTTGGAACTTGCGGATCCAAACACTGGATATCATCGTTATCTTAGCAGTCATCATTATTCAAAGGTGAGCAGTGATTTCTGCCACCAACACAATTCGGTGGCCCGGTGGACACTTGAGGGATCACTGGACACTTAGTGATGAAAGTGGTTTGCCACTCACGTGCGCTTCTGGGTCTTTCCTCGTGGTTTCCCTTGGGTTTCTGATCTCCCTCGCTCGATGGCCCAGCCACAGAGTCTCTGAAGATTCATATCGAGAAAAGTCCCTCGGGAGATGATTGAAATCCGGCTCCGGAACTTCCGGGTCCAATCACGCGGTCATTGCTTCTCGTCATAAGATCTGTACATAGTGTTCGGCGAGAAGCTGCGATAGAAGAAAAACTACTCACCTAATTCGTCTGTCAGATAAAAATTCTTCCCGAGAATTCGGGAAATCAGTCACGTGAGAGGGCCCACGCTCGGGATGAATGATCTTCCAACCCCATGAATCGTCTTTATCTCCGGCTTCGATGGGCCCTCTGAATCGAATCGTCCGAATGATCGCGGTACCGTATTCCTTGCTTCCCGAAGTTGCGATCATTCAGATGAGTCCATCGCATTTGCGGTGTGACTCATGCGCGAGGATGCCCCACAATTAGATTGTTCTCGCTAAGCTGAGCCATTTACGCAGCGCGAGAAGAAGTTGAAAGTTTGCTTGCGTAGAGGAAGTGCGTTCCCAGCCATTGAAATAGATATCCTAAGCTCTATATATTTCGGGCTAACTCGACGCACTAAATCAGAGCGGAGCCGGACCGTTCCAAAGGCCAGAACTACGACGCCACAGTCGAGCACAAGAACACTAACTGCGTCCCCCCGGTAGTGGAACCGTCGAGCAGCTTAAAAATCATTGTCGGTAAGCTTCCGAGCTTCCGGTCTCCGCTCTTCGATCGCGAAGCGTAGGGTCATTATTGATTTTCGGGATATCTTGCCATGTCCCCGCATTCGGTGTTCCAACGCTCTCACGGGGGACAACGTCACGGCGCAGTTTGTCGGAGAAGCAGCGTCTTCTTATCCAGCTATTATCGTATACTTTCTGCGTCGGAGTTTTTAGAGCCGTCAAATGCACTTGTCTCGCGATTCAGATTGCGACGTAGTTGGCCCGCACGACGCCGACCTTTGGTCGCCTCTCTCGATAAGATCGAGGCTCCCGCTGCTCCGGAGGCTATATTGCGACGAACATTGTCCTCATACGCCCGCGGAGTTCTCCGAGCTGAATGAGTCACTTGTCCCCGCTCGCGATAATTCATGGAGCTCCACGCGGAGGATATAGCTGTTGATATCATCGTCGTTCTTCGGTGGTGTGACTGGAACAGCTTCGAGGCAGTTCGTTTCCTGGTCCGCGCCTCGAAGCGACGGATTCCAATCTCCACGGTGCCCCCGCAGCTGTGAGGATACGCTTCCGGCTGATTCTGGCTCTTGAACGTATTTCTCTGTTCCACTCGAAGCTGCGGGATTCCGGCGCTTTTCGCAGGGACTGGATGGCGCCGGTCAAGCTCTTTCAACCGAAGCTGTCCATCGAGATTGACAACATTGGCAATTAGGGCGCTGGAAATCTCCGGAGCCAGCACTTCGCCTCGATCAAAATACCGCTATGCGATGAGTTCTCCCCCCTCGAGAGCGCGTAGAATCGCCGGCTCTCTTTGACGCTTCTTCTAGAACGATCGAGTTGAAGACTTCCTCTCCGACTCTGAGATCTCCGGGCGAAGTTCTGGCACATGCGGTACAGAGTCTCCGTCTAGAAACGAGTCCGTAGGAGGCATAGGTCTCCGACTTCCTCCAAATAGGCAGACTGTGTTCTTACTCTGAGAGAATCCGGAACAGGACGTGCCATAAACCGCCGAACTAACGCCCGGGGAAAAACATTCAGCATCTACTATGCTGAATTTGTTGGATTAAGCGCTGGATGCTTGACGGATTAGTGAAATTAATCGATGACGGACTGTATTCGGAAGCGAGGGATTGCCCTTGAGGCGTCTCGTAGAATTCCGAATCGAGAGAGCGAGCGAACACAGAAAAGACGAATCCACTGTTGACTCAATGACTGATTCTGGAACGGACATTTATTGTGGTTACCTTCCGCCGAGGCTGACCTTAACGGAGCATGGGTCCGGCGAGTAACGCGTCCCTGACGTTTTGTCTCGCCCAATTTTTTTTCGGGAACTCGTGAAATTCCCAGCTGAGGTTCAGATTACTGTAACTTGAAAACGATCGATATTAGTTGAAATGCAGCCGACACCAAGAGCATGGGACAATCGAAATTGAGCGAGATGCATCCCTAGACGACGCCCAATCTCTTGGAACCCCTGAGCGTGCTCGCTCCCCCCTCCCTCTTTCAATACCCGCCTCGGCTTCTCCGTTTCCAAAAAGAAGGGAAAAAAGTGAGTCATCTCATGGCTCGAAATATTCATGGAACGATTGCAGCTAGTCTCGTGGCGAACCTGTCCATGACCACGCTGTGGCATTACAAGACCCTCCCGGTTTCGGTGACCGGGGAATAATTGAGATGCTGCGTTCGAGAGCTCTGCTCAGCGAACTGACCGTTCTACTGACGGGACGGAAGCTCGAGAAGGTCAGTTACCCCTAAGAAATGAATTTCAGCGATTTGGGATCAAAATCGTCGTCGTATCTCTGAAGGGGCCACGAGCGGAAATTTGGCCCGACCCCCAGAATTCGCTTTGGCTTCGATTCCGTCGAGGCTTCGATCCCCACAATCGGTGTGACGTTAAAACATTCCCCAATGCCGGGCTTTTGGTTTTAATTCACCTCTCAGCTCATCCGGGTTGGCTCGTATTACAGTAAATTTCTCTTTGAGGAAAGGCGAGATTTCGGAAGGACGGGAACTGCATACCTACCAAAATCGTTCTCGGAATTAAAAGCTTCCCCCACGTTTGAATGAATCCTTTCGCTTTACGTTCTATCCGAACATCACGCTCGATGCGGTATTATCCGGCCACGCCTGTTCGTTTTCGAAGAGTCGAGCCCGTAATCCTCCCAATCTTTAATATCAGAAATGACTCACAGGCTTTCACCTCGAGGAGAACGATGGGATAACTCCCCGATAGTTTTTCCGGGGCTGTTCCGAATCCTACTATGTTTCATGGATCGTTCTTCGGAGAGCCGTGGACAGGAGACCCGAGTTGCGTCGTTCGAGACATCATGGATCATGAAATCATGACTCATGGTTCGCCCCCCACCCCTCGATCCGTCGATGTAATGCCGAGTGCAAACTCAGAGCTCTCTTCGCATTCTCTAAGAAGCTCTGATATAGAATGAGCCCCCGCTTTCGGGAATCGTGAGCGACGAGGGAGGGAGGCAAGCTAGCTCCTCGAATCAGCATTACAAGGAAGAAAATATCGGGCAATTACGAATCGATTCTCGAGATCAACATGACGGTAGAGAACCGACTGCCGCATTAAGGTTTTAGCGCTGAGCTCCAGGCGGAGAGCCTTATCGTCGCGATCCTCCGACCGCGATATGGGCGCTGCAGGTCCCGGGCTGGCGATAGAATTCGCGTGAATCCGATAATTCGATGTCGGATCAGGGAGTCACTGTCCGCGATTTTTCCTTCGTTTAGACGTACCGTACTCAGGAATTATAACATCATACATTGCGGTTCGAACCCGGATCGATCTCTCTCTGCGAATCAGAGGAGAAAGTGTTCCGATAGCTGCCGATGGCGTCAGAGACGAGCCGAATGTTTCTCTCAAGCAGCACATGGCGGCAGAGGATTTCATCTTTCTGAGAGAACGTGGTCTTCCTCCTCGCCTCCAACGGTGACCTTGCATTACAAAACGCCGTTTCCCGCATTCTCTGTTGTCAGTGGTGTATGCACACAGCTGAGTTCGTGTTCAGAAACCGAATAGAGGGAGTTCTTGAGGCGTGTGTGTGATCCTTTATTGGAGGCGTACTTGTTGTTTGAAAGAAGAGCGGAGTCGCGAAACTCGCTTGGTAGAATACTGCGCTTCAGGATCAACCCCAGAAAATTTGTGTCCGTTCGTCATGGTGGTTGCCAATCAAACGATGGGTTCCAGCTCCGCTCGTAGAGACGTCAATGCCATCGGGATTCTCGATGACGACGTCGCTGAAACGGTACGTCTGTGATAGTTCCCGGAATATTGTTACGTTGCAAGCTTAACTCATGAAGCTCGGCTGCGAGCGCCTGCCGTGAGTCCGTGGACGGCCGGCTGAACGTTTCGGGTCCAACCGCGGAAAGCGCGTAGTTTCTTGAGACGCGCATATCGAGTGGTGGCAATCAAATCGAGGCAGGTGTCCAACGGGCACTGAGATCGCTGCGAACAAATTCCAGCTAATGCTTCATTCTCCGACAAGACTGACACCCTGCATGGTTGATCCGATTGGAGAGTCAGTCTCCCCTCGCTCAAACAATCATTCAATCATCCAATCAATACATCGGCCCGCTGTCCGAAAGAGACCCGTTTCGTGAATATCGTTCTGAGAATCCCGTCGCGTCGTTTCGCTTCTAACGATGACCCCGAGATCTCGAGGTCCAGCGAACGATTCAGCGGCCCCCGAAGACCGTTTGCCTGGACCCTAAATCGGGACCCGAAGGGAAATGGAGAAGCCCCGCATCGTTGCCCCCTCCACGAAACTGGAGGGCGCGTGTGTTTCGGTAGAGTTTAGTAAGATCAAAGTACGCCGGGAGTTGCTCAAAAGTTCGGGGCGAAATGCTCAGGTCACGGACGAAGGCGATCTCGCTTACGCGCAGCACGGAATGCCCTCTCTAATCGTCTTAAGCTAGATCGTAGGTCGCTCTGTATCCGCAGCCTATCGCAAGGACGATAATTCTGATACATACATCGGCTGATTTCTCAATGAGCTTCCTCGTGTGACTCGGATTAATTATCTCTATTCCTGACGGAGTCTTTGCGTTTGGACTCCCCGAGATATTGGTGAGCCCGTGCTTGCGATCCATGGCCAGGGTCGAGGAACATCCGGATATCATCTCATTCTTTTCTATCATTGACTTCGAAAGCTGAATTCGATGCTGCTTCGCGCTTCACTCCGAAATATTCCTCCGTGTTTGAGTTGGACCTGCCTCGATCTGTTCATGATTTTTCCTCTTCCGTAAAAGAATACTTTCTATTTATCGTTCGCCCGGAGTCGGCACTCTCGATCATACCCTAGTTTCGTGCGAGTGCTTCGACGGCGAACAGCTCCGCTGCTGCGATCGGCTTCTAAGTGACATTATAGGATTTGAGCGTGTCGTCTCTCTCTCAACGAGTTTCGACAGATTAAATACGTAAAGTCCGAACGATAGCAGGGAACTCTCACGCTGCCAACCCAATTTACTGTCCTCGCTTGTCAGCGCGGCAAATGGCCGCTGTGAGCTCCGCGTCGGGTGAATTTTTCGAAGTGCATCTTCTCGATGATTGCTGCCCTGAATGTGTGAGATATCTTCCAAGTCGGAGCGCGGTTTCACACGGCGAGATCCTCTAACCTGACCGAGGGTTCGTTTGTCTAACTCTCATCTTCTTCTCCGTCGTCAGATTTTCCTCGAAGTATCCGTCATCAACCCGATCACCCGCAAGTTGGATGATGGCGAACTGGTCACCACGTACGCCATCTACATTGAGGTAAAAACCGTGACCGGTCACATGAGCCGCAATTTTCTAAACGCAATTCCGACTTCGCTTTCGAGAGCTGAGCGCTAATCTCCCTCCGTCGTATCCGCAGACCAATGACTCGGCGTTTACGATGTCCAAATCCATGGTGCGCCGCCGATACTCGGATTTCGTGACGCTCAGATCGATCCTTCTCGAGCAACATCCCTCGACAACTGTGCCCAAGCTGCCCGGTAGGACTTTCTTCGGAAAACGCTTCGACCAGCGCTTCATCCAGGAAAGGTATCCCGCAATCCGAGTCAAGGACGACTCGTCTTCGATTTTCTCGATAGGTTCCAACCAGAGAGATCTCTCAGAGCCTTGTGACTTGTGACTTCAATGATGTGTTTTCATTTCAGATGTCACTCTTTACAAATATTTCTGAAAGAAATCATCGAACAACCCGTTTTCCTCTCGAACAAGAGTCTGCATCTCTTCCTCCAAAGTTCCTTGCCCATGGACAAGGTTCAGAACGTGGCTAACGGGGCGGAGTCGTTCGAGCTCCCCCATAACAACGCCCCTCTGATCCTGCGCCCTGTAGATGCGAAAAAACCCACCGGACGAGTCGGTATTCTGAAGCAAGAGAGTTGCGCTTCGCTATCGTTAGCTTCCAATGTCGAGCACGAGTGCTGCATCAAGACGAAACACCAACACATAAGAGTCGGATCGGGCATCGTCGTATGTCCCTTCGTTCCGGGAGCCCACCAAGCCATGGCCAGCAGCGCACCTTTCAACATTCCTGGCCAGCAACATTCTCCTGTGAACATCAGGAGTTGTGCTAGTGATACATGTCTCGATGGAGCCGTGAGTGGCGGTAACGGAGCCAGCTCGCTGAACGGTAGCAAGAAGAGAGTATCTTTTTTCATTGAGAAGGAGAACAAGCGGAGCCTCATGAGTAAAGTCGCGGAGGTTCACTCCTCTCAGGACGTTACAGCTTAATGAAATTCTCAAGACAAAGAAACGAGCTCAGCTCGATTTTGAAGTATGCGATGTTATGAGTGTGAGAGATGATTGAATGGACCACGGCCGTTTCTTGTATAATGTGTTTATACTACGGTTGAGTATCGCTATGTTCTGTATAAATGAGGCGCTCAGCATCTCCTGCATCTCGCGTGTGTCTAACCGTCCAACTGGGTGTGTGCATGCCTCGGTATGTGAGTTAGGCATTTATCCTTGTTGAACGAAATAAAGTAAACTTTTGTGGAAATAGGTGCTTTGCTTGGTTCTCCCCTGATGAGTCCTTTGAGTTTTGTGACTGTGTCGTTTGTAAGTCTTTCGTCCACATCGTGCTGTCGCCACGGTCTGCTACGAGCAGAAAAGTTGTCGTTGTTTGAAGATCGCGTATCGCATACGCTGTTGCATAATTATAGCTTATATTGATAATTAAATAGAAGTAAGGAATGACCAAGCGCTTTTTCATTTTTCGAAAGCTTCTTCGGAGTGAATTACCACTCGAAACCAAAGTCTAGTGTTTCGAACTTCGGAAACTACTGGGATCGTGAGCGATCCGACAGCGTCGCTTTTCGAGCGACGACCACGGCGGAGCTCGAAAAAATGATCGGACCATGCGGGTTATCTTGAATGGTCTGTGGTCACGATTCCGTCTCTTGTGGTAGCATTGAGCTACGCGTCACGCCATAGAAGACGTATCGGCGGAATGAACAAGAATTCATGGATTTAGCGCGCGGCGTCCTCCGAAAATCGCCTAACTTCAATGGAGTCCCCCCTTAGGAGAAACTCCGGTTCTCAGAAGTCGACGCTGCGCTGTCGTCTGTGATTCCTGATCTACAGCTCTATCACCGGCATCCTCGTCCCTTTCTGGAACTACATTCCGATTTGAGGCTCAATCAAGCTTGGAAAGATCTTTATTCCTCTGATTGGAACGGTCTCAGCCGAAGCGGCGCATCTTCAACAGTGAAAGAGTAGATCTATCCTACGGTGCTCTTCAGCACGGGGCTAAATCAGATGCATTTGCGTAACGTTTCGTCGCATAAAAGAATAGCTGTCTCTCGATATCGCTCAAGAGACCACTGGCTCCGATGCGGAAAAGATCGTTCTTAAGCCAATCCTTGCCGAGTACTTCGTTGACCAAGAGCTGATAATCGAGAGCGTCCTTCGCTGTTCGAATCCCTCCCGCAGGCTTGAAGCCGACCCTCGTTTGGGTATCTCTGTAGTAGTCTGAGATCGCTCGGAGCATAGTGAGCGTCACAGGATAATTCGCGTTCACGGATTCCTTCCCAGTCGAAGTTTTGATGAAGTCAGCGCCCGCCTGCATGGCTGTCAGCGAAGCTTTGCGGACGTTTTTCAGTGAGCCAAGTTCACCTGCGGGAGCAACGTCGTATCTGCATCACGCGTTCAAAGAGCGTACGCCCCAAAGTCTATTACACAGAAAACTATTCGATTTTACCTGTCGATAAGATAACTTTCATATGAGCGCTTCCGCAGGCCTCCTTCATTTCGCAGAGCTCGTTGAAGACAGTTTCCCAGTCGTTCCGGTGAGCCGCGGTACGATTGATGACTACGTCGATCTCATCGGCGCCGCTCTCCACCGCGAAACGGATCTCGTCGAGTCGACTGCCGATGGAGTATTGACCTGGAAATTTCGGGGCATGCTTCAAGCTCGAAATTTTTCAAATCTCTCAACCAAATCCCATTCGGAGCCTCGCTCCGGTCTCGTGCTCACACTCACCCGATGGGAAACCGCTTGCCACAGCTGCGATCGGGAGCCTGACTCCCAAAGTTTCGAAGGAATCTACACAGTCCTTGACTCTAGGTGGATAGACGCAGACTGCCGCGGTTCGCACCCCGACAGTCTGCAGCTGAGATACGATCTCATCGCTAAGTGGCTTCACCGCTTTACTGCATAGCCTTGAGGACGAAAAAAAAACTCGGTCCAGCTATCACAGTTTTCCATATCTTCGAGTTCTTGCAGCTCCGAATCCCAGGCTGGAATCTCGGATTCTCCTCGGATTCCCGCCCATCCTCAGTCGAGCTGCGGAATCCGCACAAAACCTCGACTGTGTCGTAAAGGCGTGTGATCTCGTCGCCATGGCTACTATCATTGGTGATTAGTCGGAGGTGCCTCCGATAGCGCCACGAGCGATAATCAGGCATTTCGGATAGCTCTCATTTCGAACTATCAAAACTCATAGCTTATAGCTCGATGACAGTTCTCCACTCAATATCTCCGAATAGCTTTGAAACTTCGGCCGACCTGAAGATCGTAGATGGCGTATCATCCGAGTTGAGTGAGGTCAGGTCGAGACACGTTACCGCACGAAGTTGCCAAGCGGCCTGATTCACGCCTTTGACACACCGTCTCCGCAGAATGTTCGAGCAAGTTTCTTGAACTCGGTCGAGGTTGACCTCGCACTGATTCAGCCAATCGGGATCGAAAGAAGGCATTTTCTGCAAAGAGTCCAAGTCGGGCTCTCGTGAATAATTCCGGCCGAGCTCTAGGACGATCCATGGAATCGCACTAGATTGGGAGGATTTAGGATCTAGATGAGAAGAGGAATTGGTCCCATGTATTCGAACAGGGACGAGCAAGTGTTTCGAGGGTGCAAGCTGATATCTCAAAGGGTTTAAATCTCGAACGCCTCTCCTATGGACCGATCGAGCCATGAACCAAATGAAATACGACGAGGCAGTCACTCACAGTGATCGAACAAACGAAATTCCTACAACATCGACTAACAGAGAGAGTGGAGTTCGACTACTCTGACTCCCAGGATGCTCTCCGTCGATGACCCCGGAGGGAAGATATTCTCCTCCCTTGAGCGTCGTCTACGTCGCGTCAAAGCGGTCTTTCGCGCAATCTTCAAATAGCCTGATATCTTTCGTAGAGGAATCCGGTTCCGTTTGCCGACAAACATCCGTTGGGAATGTTTCCTGCGTAGAATCAAAGCGGCACTCGAATCACCCTCTCCACATAGAAGCATTAAAGGATTCTTTCGCAGAATACAAACTCTACCCACACTCAAACACAAGAAGCAATCATCCTTGTTGAGATTTCCACCGACAGCGAGACCCCTCGGTTTCTGTGTGATCTCGTCCCACCATCGATTCTCAATCACGACGGAGGCTCGATCGGGGACCTCTTGCGCATCAAAGGCTTCTGTGCGGAGCGACGACGCGTTGGTGAACAGCTGAAACTTGAAACAGCAGATCTCTGTTCGGAAACAAAGCCAATCTCGCGACTCAGTTCTGCAATTCATGGAGCTCTAGCGTGCCAGGTAAGCTTTGTGACTGGAAGTCACATCTTTCTGGCCTGAGTGGCGAGACATGCTTCAGGCAGTGAGTTTGGTCGTATGCGAGATCGCGTGGATTGGAAAGGATGCCAAGAGGGAGACAACAAATAGACTCGCAGAAGCGCCTCTCATTCTGTATCTCGAGCTTCTGGTCCGACTGTTTGAACGGACAGCGGCTTTTCGAGCTCCATATCCGGTCGGATGTGAGCTCGCCGGATTCTATCGCTAGCGATGCGACATGAGCATCAATACTTTGGTATATCGCCCGTCGGATGCTCCACCTTAGATCTTCGAACCGTGGGTCCCTGCTCTCGCTGCGTAGCTGACACTAGGGTCTATCAAACGGCTGGGAAAATTCGGCGTCACTGCGGTCGGGGTGCGTTCCAATTCGAAACAGCGTCGCACTTGCGTTCAGCACGCTGTCTAGGCTTGCGAATCACAACACAGAATCGAGATGGGATCGGAATATTGGCGGGTTTAGAGGGGAGCCCAGCCCTGGAAATTACGTTCCGCCGGGGCCGAAACGGCTCAGGTCGGATGACGCAAGAGTTTCCCGGACGAAATAATGCGGAATGATTTTACGCAGGTCGACTCGTGGAAGCTATAATAAGCCCATGGGGCTCCAACGCGGTTCCGTTTATCGACTGCTTGTTCTTCCACGATACTTTGATCAGTCATCGATTCCATATCGCTAGCGATCGACTTTTATCGATTCGAGACCAGTCAATCGCTTTCTGCAGGCCCTCGAATAATTCAGTCGAATAAAATTTCGAAGGCGCGAGTCTGAGGAGAGTAAAAAGCGCTCCTTTCTGTATTACCGTTTGCGCTGTATGGCCATGGAACCAGGCTATGCTCCTGTACAAACGCATTCAGATAGGAGTCTCGAAACGCAATGGTAGTTGGGAACTTTTCGATCCCCTTGCGCGTAATCCTACGATGCTGAATCAACATCTACGTCGCAATCACGTAATTAGGTGCGAGCTCTTCAGCATACAAACTTCGGTCGGAGGAGGGGTTCATTCTCTCCGTTTTTTTCCGAGCAGCGGTCCCTCCTCCGTCATGAGAATGGGCTTATTCACGAGAAAAACACCTGACCGTCCTGGAGGAGATATTGAGTCTCTTATTGCTGTCAACGGATCACCGTGATTCTGATAGAGATGATGAGAACCTCGATGGAGCTCCGAGGCAGAGTAATCCTTAGAGAAGGATCCACATTGAATTAGGATTGGGTCGCGAAGAGCAATGCTCCCGTGCACGAATCTATTCGTATATTTCGCTGCTTAAGGATGGTTGCGAATTGAAAGCGATGCGTCTTGTTGTGGGGGCAGGGAACCCTTTTCCGATTTCGTCGAGTATCATCGCTTCAGGCTAAATTGTTTCTATCGGTAGATTCCTCTTCACCTCACGATACTGAAGAGAGTACATATAAAAATATGCGATGGTCGGGTCCGACGCCTCAGGCGCACGCTCATGACGACGCGTAAATTCTGATGACCAATTCGATTTCTTGTTCCACAGAAATGGCGCACGGAGACGGAGACATTCAGGCGAGCTACCAGGATTTCCTCTCAGAAGATGAAGCTCCCACGGTAGGTTTTCATCTTGCCGAAGGATGCACGCTCCGGGACGCTTTGTTGTGGTTGTGCACCCTGGCAATTTTAGTGACGAGAAAATCGACCCCTCTCCGAGCGATGTGAAGATTCAAGCGCTCGTTTCTCCGGGCTTCCAGGTTATGGTGGAGCCGACGGAGGCCCTCTTGGACGAATCCCTGCCATTCATCGTGGTTCCTGAGCGGAAAACTGATCGATGGAATCACATCGAAGACCTAGACTCTTTTTTCAAAAAGGTTTATCATTACCATCAGAAACATGGCTTCATGTGTATGTTCTTCGAGACAGTTTTGCAGCAGCTGTAAGTATGCTCGAGAACTATTCTCCTTATGAAGAGATCGATATTGTCCCTCAGCTCACTGCGGAGAATTCAGGGCCGGCATCAATTCACAGCGGGTCTTTATCTCTTACAGGCAGTTTGTGTTCGTTATAATTTTCGTTACGTTTCTATTTTCCTGCGTGGACTACGCCATTTTATTCAAAGACAAACCTGTCGGGGGGCACAACACCACAGAACATGTGAAGGTCAAACTCAGAGACGCCATCACACCTCCTGGACAATGTATAGCCGGGTAAGTTTCGATCTCATTCATCTGGCTCCTCCATCAGTCACCGTAAGTTATCTATCTATCTATCAGCACGTTCGCTGACTCACCGTTCGCAATCTGTTGCAGAGTATCTGCCCTCGTACTGTGGTGTTTAGGCATAGTCTTGCTATTTTGGATTACCAAAGTGATAAAAGAAGTCTTTCAACTGCGGCAATATCTTCAAGTGAAGCGGTTTTTCACATCGGCGCTGCACATACTTCCGGTGAGCTCTGGTTCCTCCATCATGGTCTGCGCAGGGCCTCGAGGGGCGGGGTTGAAAGAACCATCATCAAAGACAAATTCTCAATTCATCCGAACTCCCTTGCAGCACGAGCTCGACAACATGACATGGCACGACGTGCAGCAAAGACTGCTCGAAGTGCAACGTGAGCACGAGATGTGCGTTCACAAGAGGGATCTCACCGAACTCGACGTCTATCATAGGATTCTGCGACACGAGAATTATCTCGTGGCGCTCATAAACAAAGAAGTCATACCTGTAAAGTACAATCTGCCCATCTTGGGGAACACTGTTTTCTTGAGCAGTGGACTCAGATACAATCTGGAAGCCATGCTCTTCTGGGGTCCATGGGCCCCTTTCGAAAACAGCTGGCACCTCAAAGAGGAATACCGTACCAAGGGTCGAGAGATTCAACTCGCAGAACAGTGAGTTTCGAAATTCAGGCGTTTACGACTATCGCTTTGATGAGAATCAAAAGCCCATGTTCTCAAATCCGCATGTTCTCGACCGAGGGTGTTGATAGACTCTGCCAGAAGATCGGGAACACATGACGCTTTGCTTTCCAGGTTGTCGAAAAGCATGCTCTACATCGGTCTCTTCAACTTGGCTCTGCTGCCGCTGGTTCTGATCTGGCAGCTCCTTTTTATCATCTTCTCGTATGCGGACGTTGTCAAGAGGGAGCCCGGATTCTTGGGCGCCCGCATGTGGTCCGAGTTTTCGAGGGTTCATCTCCGACATTTCAACGAGCTGGATCACGAGTTGAACTCGAGACTCTGCATGGGCTACAAGGCCGCTTCCCGTTACATGAACTCCTTCACGAGCCACGTGACTGTCGTTCTCTGCCAGTGAGTCCGGTCGAGGTCTCCTGATCCGACGCTATGCTTTGTGCTTAAGGCTAATATGTATTATTCCGATCCGGAATTCCTTGAATGCCGATGGCAATTTCATTCTCTCACAGAAACGTGGTGTTTTTCGCCGGATCTTTCTGGGTCGTACTCGTCGGGCTGACAGTTTGGGATGAAGATTTCCTCGCGGTGGAGCACATCGTCACCGCTCTGGCTGTCCTTTCCATGGTCCTTGCCGTCTGTAGAGCAGCTATACCGGATGAGGTCCGTAGAAAGTCACGAGGCAGTATTCCTCTCGGTTCTCAACGACCAAAGAATCCTCTCGTCGAGTACGACTGCTCGTTATAAACAATATTCATCTCCCTTTCGTATCAGCACACGGTGTGGTTCCCTGAAGTTTTGATGAAAACCATTCTGCACCATGTACACTACATGCCCGACCATTGGAAAGGAGCAGCTCACACCACTTCTGTGAGAGACGAGTTCAGCAATTTGTTCACGTATAAAATCACCCATCTGCTATGCGAGGTAGGTTTTCAACATCCATGGTTAGCTCGACTCCCTCCCCAAGGAAAAAGGCGTCCCGTGAGAGCGCTTTGGGAGAATGATCCTTGCAAGCCAACGAATGCTCCTCTCCTTTGGTGCAGCTTTTCAGTCCTCTCGTGACGCCGTTGATCATCATCTTCCCGTTGCGTGCCCGAGCGCTCGAGATCGTGAGATTCTTCTGCGAGAATACCGTCACCATCCAGGGCGTCGGAGATGTCTGCTCTTACGCTCAGATGGACGTGGCGAAGCACGGCGATCCTGAGGTCAGTTCTAAGCCTTAAGCAGGATCGATGGTCTGCATCCCTTTAGGGGAACGAATCGAGAGTACGTCTAAGTAAGAGGAGTCTCGTAGGCTAAGAGCGACCGAAAATAATTTTTCAGTGGACGGCTGCAGTTGGCAACGGAATGACCGAGAGCGAGTTCCCCGTTCCGATTCCTAAACCGCCAGCCTCACAGCAGGCTGAAATGGGGAAAACCGAGCTGTCGTTGGTTCATTTCAAGAACACGAACCCTCTCTGGAATCCAGACGGTCCCGAGAATCAGCGTTTCCTGTCCGGGCTGGAGCATAACCTGGCATCTGTACAGCACGGGCAGCTCATCACTCAGAGCTTGCACAGTTATACCTCATTGAATCCTTTCTCGGTGGTGAGTAACTGATCCTTTCACCAATCATTATCGTCTAAGCCGACTAAATATTCCGCTCTCTCCCGCTTCAGCTCAGGTGAGTTATATGACATTAATTGCAATTCATTTTCGCAGTTTTCTCCGGCCCCGGGACGTGACGAGATACCCAAAGGCGCCGGCGTGACCTCTGCCCAGGGCCCAATTACGTCGTATTGTGATGAATCCTTTGTGACAAGCTCTATCCCTGGGCTTCCCAGTTGGCCCCCGATGCCGAACACGGTCAATTATGAGCTCGCAGCCGCGAATACGAGCGCAAGTGCGGTGCTGTTGCACGAGAGCCGTCACCACTCGGTGGCGAGGCCGCAGCCCATGAACTACACCATGGAGAACACGACAGCGTTTCGACGACCCTTCGGAAGACCATCCGTTCTCTCGAGCATCCAGGAGAGAAGAACCGAAACGACGCCGTTGCTGCACAATAGTATGAGATGAAAACTGCTTGTCGTGAATATACCAGTATAGGCACCACCGAGCCAGTGTCAGCCTTGGCTCCTATTCGAGTAAGAGCGGTAGATTGTGATTGATGTAGGAATTTTCCTCCCCGCTCTCCCTTATTTAACGTTTCCGGAAGTAGGGCCTGACCTGCATGTACGCTAAGTAAGACGTCATACACACCTGGATACACAATAAGCTCCAAGCGATTCACGCTCTGTAAAATATAGCAAGAATATCGAATATGTCACTAAACAGGTGAACCGATGGATTCGATAAGCATTATGATATACGATGGTATGCAATCTTTTAGAGAAGCAAGAGATACGAGTGTTAGCTGGAATTTTGAGAAATGGGGGACGCCTGTCAATGTTAGGGTTTGTTGAAGTGTTGATAGAGAGATTGATCACGAATCATCGACAATGGATGAACATTCTGTACATACGATGCATGTTATGATGGAAACGAAGAGCATCCCAAAGCTAGATCACACTGGAAGAAGAGAAAACCCACTCAGCAGCATATAAATACTGAAAAGTATCAGACTTCCACTGATTTATATTACCTAATAAAAAATGCGAACTCCAAGAACTGATCTCTGCCGTGAGTATCCAGTGTCCACCAGCCCGTACGATCTTACGGAATGGCTTCGTGCTGCAACACATGTCAATCCAATTGGGAACCAGAATGTTAATCAACTGCTCCCGCAGCTACTTTGGCCGAGCTCGTGGTCGATTCTGCTCGAATGATGACATGGCGCCAATATCTTGAGCAGGAATTTTCTCAAGATGGTTCTCCCCGATAGTGGAACATGATTCCAAACTATATAGCCCTCAATAGCCCCTGCCTCCTGAGCAAGAGAGCTCTAAGTCACGCGGACCTCTCGAATCGACCGATCACGATCGCCTCCTCCCTATTCAGATTCTCGTTCCAAGGAGGACCGGAGCAGCGAGGTGAGTGAGGCACTTCCAACTCTTTCCTTCTCGCGACTCCAGCAGTGCGCAGGGTGTACCCTGATTTTCAGACCTATGCTTGATCGAAGTGGAATCATTCCAGAGTCGAGGAAATCATTCCGAGCTGCGCTGAGTTCTTTCGATCGATGGCCTTGCGGTAGTCGTAGCCAAGCGGTAGGATTCTCTCCAATCATGCCGGGCAATCATTCGAATGTCGTATCGTCTGCTGTGGCTCTTAGTGTGTTTTCTGTCTACAGTGGGGAAGGGAGTTGACATATGACGGATTGAGCGCGAATATCATTTGGATTGGGATTCGGAATAAAGTTCCCGGAATATGTCCGCGTCGCTGCTGGATAATTTCATGCAGCTGCAGCGAAAAATCGTCGATCCTCAGGATGTTTATGATCAAGCAAACGGCTGCCGCGGCATGCTACTCATGATCGAGGCGCTTTTTCTCGACGGCAAGTAAGTCATACAGCAAGTCTACACTATTTTCTCTGAGCGATTCGCGAGCTAATACACTCCATCCGTCACAGATTGAGTTTGGAAGCCCGAGATTATTTAAACATACAGTACACAACCCTCCTGAACACACTTTGGATGGGCGACTTGGGGAAAAAGTACGATGATTTGATGTCGGTCGAATCATCATCCGGAGTCGTCACTTCGGATCAAATGAAGGGTCCCAAGCCTCTCCCCGTGCAGGTACGAGAATATTTTGAAGAGGAAGGGCTATTCTACTCATTTCGATTATCTGTCGCCGAATCGTGTGTAGCTCGAAGGAGCTAAGAGCAGAGCTCCCGTGTCGGTTTCAGATATCACCGATCATCACAGAGGAGGCTATACAGCACACGCTTGAGTTTGCTCTGAGTCTGAAGGATCGCCCGAAAGTTCCGGAGTCCGCACAGCCCAGCGCAAGGGGCGGCGACCAAGAGCCTGCGCAGGTTGGCGGCAACCGTCAGGCTTCGTCACGGGAGGTATGAGGAAGTCAACGGAGACATCGGAAGCTCTCGATCCCATTTAGAGCCCGGGCGTCCGATGCGAGTCGCCCATGATTCCTCGGCAATAGAACGGTGTATCGGAATCGAGTCCTCGGGGTATCGAAACCTCTTTCTGTATTCCATTCCAGAGGCGCGAGAAGAAAATACCGACGTCTGATCAAGTGTTCTGTTCCGCGAAATCAATGCACGCGGCTGAGAACCCGGAGCTGTATAAGAAGTAAGGATTCTACCGGAATTGACGAATTTCGGCCTCTGTTGATCAACCTCTTCCGTAAAAAGCCCGAAATTCCGCGTTCGAGGATTCCGATCTTGAGCATTTGTAGCTGTGGCTCGATCGGCGCTCCTGGACCGACTCGGAATGTGACGCAGCGAGCGAGTTCTTCCATTCCGATTCAATGCTCAGTTTTATGCTCACGTTCCGTATCAGGACGGACTTCCTCGTGTTTTCTCCTCGAGATTCGTCTGCGGAAGTCTCCAACTCCGACACACGAGAAGTTGTACGAAGGAACCACTGACTGGGAGATCGTTATTTTCAGACCCTTCGATGACCTGAAGCAGAATCCAGAGATCGAGGCAATCGGTTTGGACGTTGCGAAACGAGTGCTAATCGAAATGATGACAGAGCATCCCGAGACATCTTGGGACGAAATCGCTGGTCTTCAGTACGCCAAAAATGCTGTGCGCGAAATGATTGTCTGGCCGCTACTCCGACCGGATATTTTCACTGGGGCCCGGGAACCTCCCAAGGGAATGCTGCTCTTCGGACCCCCGGGCACGGGAAAAACGCTCATCGGGAAATGCATCGCCGCCGAAGCTAAGGCTACTTTCTTCAGTGTATCCGCGTCGACGCTCGTCTCCAAATTCATCGGCGAATCGAATCTGCTTGTCAGAGCGCTTTTCGCGGTCGCTCGTGTCAAACAACCCTCGGTCATCTTCCTCGATGAATTGGATTCTCTGCTTTCGGCCCGTGGAGCTCAGGACCACAAGCACGACCGTCAGCTCATAACCGAACTCTTCGTCCAGTTAGATGGCGCGAAAACCTACAAGAACAATCGTGTCATCTTCATCGGAGCCACGAACAGGCCTTTCGATTTGGACGACGCCGCGAGACGTCGACTCGTGAAAAGGTTATACATCGCCCTCCCGGACCAAGAGGCTCGAGCGATCATCATAGGAAATTTGTTCAAAGACACGAAGCACGTCCTAAGCCAGGATCAGCTGGATGAGCTCGCTCGGAGGACCAAAGGTGAGTCGCGTTCCCATACTGAGCTAGAGGCTTTCCCCGTTCCAAGACATCAACGCTAAGACCGAGGAATCGCGCACCCATCATGACTAGATTCAATGAGAACCCGTGTGGTATTAGAGAGAGAATATCAGCACAGCTCCCTTCCGAAATCGGGGTATCCATTCGAAGTCTCATTTGAGAATTCCTGCCCTACCACTTCTCCTATACGGAGGGGGTGGACAACCTCCTTCCCCCCTCCCGGGAAAAAGAAGCATCGAATCAAAACCTAAATGTTTATGAATATATCGATCTGTGGAGTGGGTCCGTAACATCTATCAGCAACAACATTATATACAGAGTTCGGAGGAGATCCTCCTCTAAGATTGATCACGGAGGATTCACATAATGCATTGAGGTTCCTGCTCCGCCCATCAGCCGTGTATTGCAAGCTAAACCGTGAAGCTTTCGCCGCAGCCGCACGTTCCTTTCGCGTTCGGATTGTGGAACACGAACTCTGACGCCAGTTTGCTTTCTACGAAGTCCATCTCGGTTCCCAAGAGCGAGAGTTGTGCTCTCGCGTCGATGAGTATGCGCACTCCATCCTGAGGAGAAGAAAAGAAACATTTGAGCCCGATTCCTTCAGACTTGGACTGATTCGTCCTCCAGAGAATAAGTTAGAGAGCTCTCGGTTCCTCCACCTGGAAAACTTCCTCGTCGAATTTTGCTTTCTCGTGAGCAAAATCAAGAACATAGCTCATTCCGTTGCAGCCTCGATGCTTCAATCCGACCTTCAAACCGATCGCCTTCGGTTGACTAGATAGCAGCTCCTAGGGAAGAAGTAGCCGGATGATCTCCCTACTCGGAATGAATATTTGAGTGACCCGAGGATAGTCATATATCATGCACCTATTCACAAACCACTCACCTTCACGCGGTGCACGGCTGCCGGAGTTAACGTAAGGGCGGCCCTGGTCGCTCGAAGGGGAGCTCCTCCGGCTCTGACTGAAGCGGTGATTTTCACACCAGCGCGGAGTGCCGCACTCAACAGTGTCATCTGAAAACAGCGAATTCTGCCTCACGCGAGTCCCATGCTCGAGAGACTTGGAAGACCAACTGTGAGCTCAGCTCAGAAACATTTCCGTAGAGGGTTCTGATCTTCCCGGACCGCAGTGCTACGGTTACTGCCCAGACTATCGAATGTCTGGAATCCATATCACCGCGGGCTTCCATTGACTGATCATCAATTATTCTTACCTCACTTCGGTTCCGCCGTCCCTTGTCACGGAGAAGTCATATCGGCTGCCCAACTATGATACAACGAAAAATCTAGTGGAACAAGGTCGTCAGCGCGCACTCGGGAAACAAGTCGCCGCATCAACAGTACGGTGTTCGAATTTCCCCAGACGACGTGAGGAGAGGGAAGGGAAGAACGGTGCTCTAAGGATCACAACAACGATCAAGTTGCAGGGTATAGCCTGCTACGAGTCTCGACGCTGTCCCCGATAATAACCGCGGCATGTACTGGGACAGAAACTCAAGAGAACTCTCCCGAAGTTCGAACGGAGCTCGAACACCGTGGGGTGGAGCAATCAAAGGAAAAGAACAAAATCGTCAGCATCGCGGACCATGTCATCATCTCGTCGCTGCTCGTTCGATCTCAGTGCCGGGCGCAATCCCTTAGACGTGTCCTGGATGTCAGCTGATAGAGCGCTTTTTTCAGAGGGGAGTTTTGACTAGCGGTAGCAGCGACGGTCGCGGGATTAAAAACCGAGATAATTATGCGTCATCGCGACCGCGATTCGACCGGTCGAGTGCTCTCATCCACTGAAGGAACGAGTCCAGCTCTTAGCTGAAGTTGAGCTTCCGACAGTGCCTGCCATGGTGACGGCAATGTCTGGAGCCAACTACCGAGAAGATGAGCTCCAGGCCGAGCGATGTGAGGAAATAATCCAGCTCCTGCTCGCCGCCGGATATTTCCGAGCGCGAATCAAGGGTCTTTCGAACTTCGACAAGGTCGTCGGCGGCCTCGTCTGGTGCATACAGGTGAGAGTTTCTCGCAAAGTTCCGTTCTCAAATAACGCGCGAACCGGATACCTAGCTCCGGTCAGTTTGCTCCATGATCCCATTCCATTCAAGGCGGGATGGTATCGAGTTAATTTGTAGAGTCGATCTACCGGAACCTCGCGAGAGCCGGAATGCAAATAAGAGAAGCCCAAAGAAGGTCGAGACCTTTGGGAGCTTCGAAGCGCTCGATGAAATTCATGCGGAAGATCTCTCTGTCGCAGGTGTGCGCCGTCGACATCGAGGTAGAGCTGCTGTTCAACGAAAACTGGAACATTGGACGGAAAATCGCTCTCACTGAAAAAATCGTGAGAGCTCTGAAGGATATGAAATGCCCCCACCCCATCGAACCCCATCAAATCCAGGGGAACGACCACATACACGTTTTTCCCGTCGTTCAATGGCTCGTGAAAAGAGCCCTGGAGACCAGAGAGCAAACCGCTCAACACCACGCAGCTTTCGCGCGGTACCAACTCGAGAAGAACTTCGGCATTCTGCCCACGCTCCGTAAATCAGTTGAAGTGTACAAACCAATAAGAGCCTATCGTCACAATGCCCCGGAGAGTCTGACCAGGGATATCCTGCTCGATTCGGTCCTCCTTGAGTACTCAAACCATCGGTCGGGTGAAGATAGCGGTCAGAGCTCCTCGATCCTGAGCGATATGCAGCTTGTCGAGAAACAGACGGAAATATCGGATGACGCGAACAATGAGAAAATGAAGCAGCTGGTGGAGCGTCGACAGAAAGAAATCGAGCAGGGCGTGGAGGAATGGCGCGAAGTTCGTGGGGACGAGGATGAGGATTCCCGTCGTAAGGAAAGACTCCTCAAAGAGATTCAATGGAAAGAAAAGAGAACCGAGGAGCTCCGTGACAGAGTCGAAGAGCGAAAACTCGGAGTCGCCAGCGCCCGCCAACGAATGCTTGAAAGCAAAGAGGAGCTGGAAGAGATGCGTAAGATCATTGAAGTCGAGGGATTCCCGAAAGTTTGCGATCTGCTCCACGTCTTAGACGAGATGAAGCGTCAGGAGAGCGAGTTCAAGAAAGAATGCCGCAAGGAGCTCGAGAAGCTGCAGCAGATGGTGGCCGAGGAGGAACGCATAATCGCCGGCGAAGATCAAATGGAAGGAGCCGAGGATAAAGTAGATGAAGAATTTGCACAGGTAGCCCAAATGAAAGTGAAAATCGCCAAGCTCAACAGGCAGGTGGGAAAGCTGCAGAGAACGATTGACCAGATTCCCACACGCAGTGAGCTCGGCCAGTTCCAGCGGCGCTTCGTGGAACTGCACCAACAAGTGGCAGATGTTCACAAGGAAACCAAGCAATACTACACAATGTACAACACAATGAACGATCTCTGCGCTTATCTAGAGAAAGAAATCGGTTTAGTGAACTCGATTCAGGATAATTTCGTTCAGGCCATGGGATCGTCGTCGAATCGCGACATGTTCCTGAAGCAGGTCGATGCATCGATCCAGGGAATCCGACAAAATCGCATCAAAACCGAAAGACGCCGACTTGTCGCAAAAATGGAGCGTGATAAACTCCAGTATGAATATTTGCGGCTCGTCGAACAGCAGAGAATGTATGTCAAGATGGTGGCTGAATTCAAGGAGGAGCTGAGACGAAATCAGGAGTTGATGGCCAGCAAGAGCCTGCAGCCAGTCTCCGAATAGAATCAAAGTGTTTAGGTCTGTCTAGTCTTTCCCGCGGAAATAAAATGATACCCGAGCGTTTTTGATGATGGAAACGAAAAGATATTCGATGCTTAGCTTCTCACTTTATTTTAAAAAAGAAATCTCAACATGATAAGATAACAAATCCCCCGCTCGGGTTCGTCCCTCGCTTCCCTCCGAAAAATGATGTACCTGTTTCTTCTTCCGTCGATTGCCAAATTGACCCGATGCGTGGAGTCAATCACTGAAACCCTTGAGCGAATCGTTTCGTCTCACAAAGACTTATTGGGGTCGTGACTCCTCGAAGAATTACGGGAACAATTTTCGGAGCAAAGGTTCCGATCCGTTGAACAAACAGGGCCTAAAGTCTCCTCAGTCCTTGCAAATGCCCATGTATTTAGAGATGATGTAGAGCATTATCTCATCGGCACCGCCCGCTATGGAAATCAGCCTGCAGTCTCTCCAAGCTTTCGAAATCCACATCTCTTCGGTGTAACCCATACCCCCGTGAAATTGGAGACAAGTGTCCACAACGTCACGGGCGACGCGTCCTGAAAAAAATCCTCTCTTTATATTCCTACTAGTGCAAGGTTTCCTTTGCGAGGACGGTTCACTTCATGGATGGGAATGTCTTCCGAGGAGCTCGTCATAGAGCGAACGAGCTCGCACCTGCTTTGAGTTTGGCCATCGAGGCCAGCATCGTCGCATCTTCGCCTTCGACGATTTGTTGGGCTCCCCTATACGATATAGATCGGATGGCTTCGACTTCCGTCTTTAACTCGGCAAGCTTGAACTGGATATACTGCTTATCCAAAAGAGGTGTTTTGAAAACCTGCAATCCAGGGAAGAGAGCCTCTTTTCGCAAATGCTGATTGATCTTCCATATCACTTTCATCAGGAGCGACGCTCCCGCTCGGGGCTCGCTGAGAGTCGACAGACTCCATTTAGGTCGCGGCTCACCTTCCTCGTTGCGAGATATTCAGCGGTCTCCTCGATTACTTTGTCGAGTTGGTTTGGTATGGCGAGAGCGGCAGCTAGTCTCTCCTCTTGGAATTGCATCATCTGGTACATGAAACCCTGTCCCTCCTCACCTACGAATGGAGACGGGGAGTGAGTGCCACGAAATTGAAAAGCTCAGGGTTCTGATCTACAGATCGATTTCAATGTCAAGATCTCAATCCGAGCTTTCACCGATGATGTTGGATGCTGGTACTCGGACATTCTCGAAGAAAATTTGCGCCGTGTCCGAGCAGTGTTGACCGATTTTCTGAATCTTCTTGGCCACCGTGATTCCTTTCAAATTCATCGGAACACAGATCAGCGACTTGTTCTTGTGTGCTTTCCCCTCGCGGGTGTTCGCGAGCATGCACATCCAATCCGCTTGAGTTCCGTTTGTGATCCACATTTTCGTGCCGTTGATGATCAAGTCGTCTCCGTCGCGCTTGGCGGTAGTCCGGATCGAAGCGACGTCGCTTCCGGCGTCAGGTTCCGAGACTCCTACGCAACCGAGGAACTCCCCGGAGATGGACGGCGCGAGGAACTGTTGCTTCAGTTCTTCCGTTCCGAAACGTATGAGGGCAGGACAGCACATGTCCGTGTGCACGGTCACGCCTGAAAATAGGGGGTGGTGCGAGAGGGTTATGAGGATGTGAGCTCAGCTCAAGCGATTGATCGGACGAAGAGCGCGAGAGCTTCAGTCCTGGAAATTTGTTCTTGGGGACGCCACGCCACAATCAGCATCCTTAGGAAGCTGCGACTCACCCGTGACGACGCCGGCACCTCTACACATGCCGATTTCCTCCAGGAAGGGTACGTTGTAACTGTAGTCGAGACCCAAACCCCCATACTCGGTGGGCTTAGTGATACCGAGCGCCCCGATCTCGGCGAGTTTCTTCAGGACAAACTTTTTGTCGAACCTCCCCTGCAACGCGTTCAGTGTAGCAATGCGCCGAATCTCTTCATATGAGAATTGTACGCTCGCGAGTCGAACATTGAGAATCGAGGATATCTCTCTCACCTTGGCCTCCCATTCTTCTATGCAAGGATTGATGTCGTTCGTCACAACTTTCCGAACCGATTCACGGAGCTGCTCGTGCTCATTTGTATTGAAGGAGACCCATCGACAACTCGTGCCAGGGTGAATACGTCTGACACAACGCGATAAGAACATTTTGTGATGTTTCCTGTAAATGCGACATCACAGCTCCGGTGAGGAGAACACCCGCAGGTCTTCAGAAATAATTCTTGAGACACTATGAACCTACGCCTTTTCTTCTGATGATTCAAGTGAGACTGATGAGCCGGTGCAAAGAGGGTTTCCTCGAGAGCTTATAGAACGTTCTCTCGAAGTCGTAAGCAGGCACTGGCAGCCATCCCTCAATCAGCTGTTGACAGCGGTCACCGACCTCTCCCGCATCGGACCGCGATAAATATTTGAATTTTCGGCGGGAAGCTCTCCATGGACCCGGGAGTTCTCATGATGCGACGAGAAACGCGTTTTCCGACGAGTGAATAGGAACTCTCTCTTCTCAGAAAGCCCGATGCGGCTAGACTAAATCCCACACAAATACATCACGTAACGATGACCGGATATTCTTGTCTTCAGGGTACTCGGGGGCCGACATGGCAAACCTCTGTAAGGAAGCCGCCTTGGCACCGATCCGAGACTTTGCGGGGGAGCTCAACGAATTGAAACTCGACGAGGTAAGTCACCGGCGTCCTGACTGGCCGACTCATGTTCGATTTTAGATCCCGAAGGATCCATGTCCTCGATCTGGAATCAGTCGAGTATATTCCGATACTCCCAAAATCCTCTGAAAAGCACGAGAGGATCACGAGACGTCTGATCGAAGTGCCGAACTCCATTGCAGATAAGGGCGGTAACTTTTGAAGATATGGTAGGCGCTCTCGACATCGTGAAAGCGTCGGTCTCCGAAGGAGACCTGCAAGCATACGCTGATTGGAACAAGCAGTTCGGTTGCTGTAGCGGTCCGGCTGAGTAGAATCCTCCAGAGCAACCTTCACTTTCGCATCCACCTGTACAGCCGGTTTGCGATGCGCGAACGTTGAGTTGTCTGGAACGATTCGGCCCACTGATTTTCCTGCTCCATCCTCCCCGAAATCGAACCTCTCCAATCGATCTCTATTGTCGTATCTGCGCATGGTCGAGACGACAAGGTAAAATACCGGCCCGGTGAGCGATGTTCAAAGAATTCAAAGTGGTCATGACCAGCGCAAAAGTCACAATCTCAAAGGATGGTTTTATTTGAAAGAAATTAAAGCAACACCCTAAATGCTTGCAAACATGTATCTATACTGATCCCAGACGTCTATTTTATTTATTCTCTCTGTATCAAATTGTACTTTGCTCCCAAAGAGTTCGATTTACAAAACTGAATCGATTACTCCCCTGTAGGTTGAGGTGCGCTATGGAAGGTTGGACGAATCGGAAGTCGATTCTCTCCGATGAGAAGCTCGTATATTAGTTCGAGTTCCTTTGCAGTTCAAATTTATAATCCAATGGCGATTCATAAATCATTCATCATCGAAGCTTGCCGTCTTCCTGATGCTATGATCGACGCCCATGAATTTTTTTTTATATCCCGTATCCCGTAGCCCGCCTATTTCCAAAACCGGAACCCAACTTTCCCGCTTCTCTCTTATTATAAAAAACCTAGAATTCATGCACGAATTCCGATCTTATGCGCGCCATTAGAAATTCTCGGGGGAACACTAATCCTCGAGCATCTGTTGCGGACCTGGGTCTTCTTCTCATTGCATAAGCTCATTCCTCTAGGTCAGTATCGCGGATTCCGGCCACCGAAGCGCGAATCTAACTCAATTTACCCATTTCGAATTTTCTAAAAACTTCCCCAGCAGTGAAGCAGATCGAGTTGATGATGCCGACTACGGTGAAGGTACCGCCCACGATGGCGCACACCTGCGACGGAAAACATAGTAACTTAATACACAGTTGGAGTTCATCTCGAGGAAAGAAGAGGTCGCATCCTCTGATCGGGGAATTCCCGACGGTTCGTGACCGAGAGATGGAGACTAAGAAACTCACATTCGTTAGGAAACTGTACAAGGGTTGGGTTCGTCGATGGTATCTCACGGTGATGGGATTCAAATCATACTTAAACCAGATCGCTGGGATGATCCTCCCGGCGGAGAACGACAATGTTATGTAACTCTGGAAGTGAATCGGAATAATTTACTCGGCCTGCTAATCCGCTCCGGGGACGGATCCAAAAAATCATGAAATGTTCGCACAGAACACCATACGTGTCGTCCGGGCGACGAAGAACTTTGGAGGGATATTATCAAGGCTCAGCTCCCGCGTGCGACGCATTTCATGCTGCGGCTGCCTCGCCGACGAATCGAAGACGGGAACCAGGCCAAGGCGTTCCAGAATGTAGTACGCGAGTTCAAACGTAGGCGAGAGTGCCGCCGTATCGAGTTTTCGTTGGTGAGGAAATACGGTCACCCTATCGAGGCGACGCGTACAACATAGACAGCTTTAGATACAGGAACGACGCCCACTTGCGACTACAATGAGAGAAGCCAATCCCTCTGCCAACGCATAACAAGATAGAGCGTAGGAGGACGCAGCGCCAACGAGCGTGGGAGTCGGAGATCCAATAGCCTGATTGAAGCCATGTTGGACTCTATCCCGGGGGCGCATTTCAATAAAGGGCTGAGCAGAGCAGCGAGGCAGACAATTCTAATCGGTGAAGGTTTTCCAATGGGCATTTCCGATCAGATACCTCCGCGCTCGGTATCCAAGTCTCCGGAACACTCTTATCGGGATGCCCAGCGCACCTACGATTCTCCCAATGTCCGCTTTAGCTCCAACTCAATGCGCTTGTCTCATCGCTATCGACATCCACCTTCTAAATTGCTGTACAATCTTCCCCGTTTCCCTACCCCTCTCTTCGACCATACTCTTATTTACACCGAATGTAATTGCCCGACCCCTCTCATGCCTACGGCCTCCAAAATTCGAATTCCCTTCGATACCGCATTCTCTCCCCACACTCGATCTGGATCCACATCATCTAATTCTGTGACTTTTGTGTCCCTTATTCCTCCCGATAGTTCTTCCCGCTGTTTCCCGTTCGCCTCGCTATTGGTCATGACTCCTTGTGGAGTTCCTCCAACTTCCGCCTTCTCCTCCCACGAAGCGACCTACATTGCGTTCCTGGTCCCCCATCTCGAAGCGAGTTACCCCAGGCCATGGGTAGTAAACATTTATTTCAATGTGACGCGTGGGCGAACGCTAGACTTTTGACGTCACGAGGGTTGCCGACGACGAACTACACGTTGTCTCACTCGGATCTTTCGCGGAAGTGGATCTATGGAACTTTGTCAAAAGAGAGCTCGAAGAGAAAAGAATTTCGGCTTCGGATGTCGGCTGCCAGACACCAGTCGGACGAGAGCTGAGCCCCTCGCGGAATCGCACCAGAGAAACTCCTTGCGAAACCTGCGGGAAACTGCGATCTCACATCCCGCTCCGCCCGCCGGCACGACGGCAAATGTATAGAATACGTGTTCCAAACTCGCGCATCGGTCGGAGAGCGGGCAGAACTTGGACCCTCCGAGAACCATGTTTGCAGGTCATGGGCCCGCCGTTCGAACTCGAGTCTCCGACCGCAGCAAAGCTGCCCGTTAGTTACGTAGTTCACTTAAGCCCAGGTACTCGAGGGAATGGGAGCGCGGAGCCTAATTTTGCGTAGGAGGAGGACCGAGTGCGCGAACGGAGCCTGTTCTTGAGATTCGCAATGCCGCTGAACTTCTGAGTGCTCTCATGAATTTAGTCTCGTATTCTGTTTCCGTTCGAGCTCGGCTCCGCGGGGTCCTCGTAGGATGCCACCACGCGTTGGAATCGTTTGCATCAGTAATGCGGCCCACGTGGCTTTTTAGATGAGCTTTCCGTCGAGGAATGAGCGCGTCTTATAACGCGGGGGATTCGCAAAATTTTCTATCGGTGTTGTTGGTTCCATCCGAGTCTGCTTACATCAGTAGCTATGAGCTCCAGAGAGCAACCTACTCCCATCTGGGAGCGTAGGCGGCCGGCGAAACTTGCGTGGGAGACAAGTATGAGGATATATGTTCCTGTCCCTCCTTTTCAATTCCAGCTTCTCAGTTCCGCTGTCCAGGCGCCGGTACCTCCTCCCCGGGGGAAAAGGAATCGGGCTCAGAGAGAAGAAGTCAAGAGATCAGAATGATGACGCGCTCTGCCAAGCCCTGTCCTGTAATGTCCATGCGGGGGATTCGTCCGGGAGGGGTGAGGCACGGTCCTTGTGACGACCAGCCGCAGAACTCCCACGAGTTGCCGCCCGTATGACACGAGAACACGCGGATCGGGACGTTTTTCTGCAGCCCGCAACCAATGGGAATAATCTTCCCCATGATGAGGAGAAAGGGTTCCCGAAAACTATGTCTCAGCACAAAGGAGCCAAACAGGTGGAACTACTCGCCAGATTCGGCTTCATTCATTATTCCCCGGGTAACAATGTTCGGAGTGTGGAATGAGAGGATAAAGCTAGTCATGAATGGGTCTACTTCGGACCAATAAGTGAATGGAAGGCACGTTTGGGAGCCTCGTCTGCAGAGTGGACTCAGCTTCGTAATGACACCATCCTACGTATCCGAAGCCACATTCTTGACCCTTTCATTCGGAATAGCTCTACGATTGTGAATTATCCACGGCCGTGGGCACAATGGTGATCAGTAGCCTCGCCGCTCTCCCACACAACATGAGCCCGCCACAGGAGATCACCTCCTCCGCCTCCATCGACAGCAACACGGGCGAAAGGCCCTCTCATGCATCTGAAAGAGTGTTCGCTCCTCGGCATAAGGGACATCCGAACCGGGCCGCGAACTCGGGATCAAGAACATTGAATAAGGGATTCGAGGACTCGGAACCACCCAGGGCGGAATTCCGAGCTCAATCGGCGTTGCCAGGGATGTCAGAAATTCAATAACCTGGACCCTCGATAATAATCTTCGGTCGGCGTCCTCGTCGGATAGCATGACGGGAATGAAGATTCAGACCCGGGTCAGAGAAGCGTTGAGCGAGCCGAAGAAATCAGAACAATCTAATCCAATAAGAGCATGGTGAACTCACCTTGTGCGCGTGGGTGTACTGATATCCCACGAGACTGTCCCCAGAAGACAGCTCGTAGACGGTTGGCACAATTTTCATGACGTAGTCATGAGACTCTTTACCTGCGACGACAGAGAATCGGCATTATATTATCGAATGAATTGGAAGTATTGATTAAGTTCCCGCAGGGATAACAATACGCAGTGGAGCGAAGCTATCCCACAGTTGTCATAGACACTGACCTTGGAATTCTGAAAGACGACCATAACAGATCATGCGATTGTTAATAATATTAGAAGTCGAACACATTACTATTATATAACGATTGGCTCACAGAAAGCCATAGCGTAAAATGAACTATGAGCATTTCGGCAAGGAACAAGGCTGCCCATGTTCCATATCTTTCTCGTGAATTGAAGAACCTTCGCAAAAAATGCGGGGCTTTATTGTAATATTTCTCTACTTCACCTTGGAGCGCTGTGGGAACACGGAAAACTCATGTCAGACAAACTTGAAAAACAGATTATGCAATTTCAGAAATGTTCCGTTTTTTTGTAAGGAAATAAAGATCTTATTCACGGACCAGGATCTTGCAGGGCCGCTGCAAACCATGCGACCCGTTAGTACAGCGTCAGGATGTCAAAATTAAGAAACAAAAAACGTCTGCTTGTAACTTGTCAGATGGCGAAAGGGTGCGGGGGAAGGGGGTAGGGGACTATTTCCGGGCAATCGAAAGCGATTGATTCGACTTGTCCACTGATATTCTTCCCGCGAGGAGAAACACAATTCACGATCCCGAATCGGAACAACGATTGAGCTCCGAGCGACAAAATAAATCGAGCGACGTCACAGAGCAAATAATTCGATGAATCAGGCGAGGTCGAACTTGACTCAATCGAGACGAATTTCCACACTCACCATCTGCTTTGAGTCGATCGTGATTTTGAAGAGCATTGAAACTTCCCTTGATATCGTCACCGAGTTCATATATCAATTGTTCTCCGAACGTTAACGAGTGAATCTCGTGGGACATGTCTATATCGTCAGGCTGAGTTTTAGCCGCGTGGGTTGACACATGGAAGTTCCCGGGAACCTGGGCGGCAGAAAATTATCGTACGCTTTTTAAAGTACCCAGATGTCACGTAATGTGCCTGAATTCGGTGAAAATACTGTTCATGATCAGTCGAGGTCAATCGAGCTTACCTTGTTTATGGTGAATTTAGAGACGAAATTGCAGCCCTTGCCGTCATTCAAGACCGTCTTCTCGGTGTTGTCAATATGACCAACTTCGTGACGACCGTTCTCGTCCTGTATGTCCAAACCAACCACTGCGGAAGGGCGTAGCTTAATCAATCTCAACAGCTCTGACTCAGAAGAAGCCACCACCTTCACAAAAGACGCCGTAACGTGACAGGAAACAGTGATCAAGAGAAGTTATCATGTAAAGGTACACATGATGTTTGTCTGAGTGCCGAAAAAGTTACTTAAGCGCGTTCATCATTGTTATGCAAGAGCAGCAGCATCACGCATCGTCGAGCGAAAGGGAAAGCGGGCAAATGAGGACGATTGACGAACAGGCAGTTTAGAGACTCCATGACTCCTTGCTTCTTAGACAACATCCAGTAATCGGGAATTTCGTAAGAGAGAGCGCATTCCATCGCGTTATAGAATACACTTCCCAAGTTCGTCGCGCTCGAACGAAGCGTTTCTCTGCCATTCTGAGCTTATCTGCATATTCTGCACGCGCCAAGATCACGTTGAAGGCAATGTGTTAGTTGATATTTTCGCGGGAAAAACAGTTTTCCTGCGCCCAATTTTCATAACACTCCATATGGCGGAGTGCGGGAGTTTAGTAAGATCGCCCACGGTCAAGGAACGGTCACTCTGCGTTACGAAGCAATGCCTTCCACGTAAGGCAGTCAAAGATCGTCACGGAATACCCTCAGTGACGGATAGCCGAGGACAGACTCTCGATGTGCCGCAATACTGAGCGCTGAGGATTATTCCCTATCGCCGCTCCATGTCAGGAGCTCCGAAACTACGAAGTCCCGGGGATTCGGGCGATTCGCAGGCAGATAGCGAGAAATAGCTCGTTTGAGAGAGCGCCGGTCTGAGTGGGCATTATTCACGCGCACAGGAGCGAGCTCAGAGCAGGAAACGAAAGAAATACGATGATAACGTCAAATGCGTAGCCAAGCACGGATCTATATTTAGGAATGCATTTAGAAGCGGTGGAGAATGTCAGCTCGACTTCGGAGCGCCGCGCCGCACAGAAGTTTCCATAAATTATATTCAAAGGTGAGGAAGCGGATCGAGAATAAACATCACGGCTAGAGTCCACCAAACAATCCCACGGGGAAGGGAGTTTCCCAGAACAAGCCCACGGTTTTATTCCCAGATCCTCTCCCTGACAACGAATGGGAACTCCGAAGAAATTCAAGGAAGGGATTTCCAAGAAGATCGAGCTCCAAGTCCTCAGCGACGAGTCAAAGGCTCTCGTCGAAGGGGTAGCTAGGATCATCCCGGAGCTCCTAATTCATCTTGAGGAATCGACTCCGACCAGACGGAGCTGTGTCTAATCGAGAGCGATTCCTCTCTTCATGCACGCAATGCACAATTATTCTACTAACCCCTCTGATCTTTGATGGAAAAACCCATAGCTGAGGAGAATTATTAGAATCGATGAGACTCTCCGATCGGTATCTTGATCTGTTTCGCGGAACGATCAGCAAGGGAAATAATTGCTATTCGCTCCCTTTCAGACATGGTGCGAGTTGAGCATGTTAGGATTGTTTACGAACTCGGCAGCTCGCCTAGTATGACGGACATCGAGAGGTTCGTTCTGGAGACCAGTGGGAGCTTCGAGCGGAAGTTCTCCCCTGAAACTCACCGTCACAGGAGAGCTTCGGCAACGATATGTTGAGGAAAACGATAATCTTCTCGGACGGTGCGGGGTTGTCCACGTAGAGATCGCTGACTCTGCAGAAGGAATCGTGAATTAGAAATGCGCTACGCAGCAGTGCGTCACTGCAAGGCAATAGCTCGGAATCGGCGATTTCGCAAGGGGAAGTTCCCGCAGGTCGAAGAGATCTCGGCTCCGTAATATGTTGTTGACGAGAAACGTCGATACTTCCGTCGTTCATCTCCTTCCAGAACAGTAATTTATCCAGAAGCTAGGAGTAATTCGTCGCTGCCCATGGAAGCGAAACCGTGATGTTTTCCCCGGGGCCATCGGAGGGAGCCGGTCTATCTTCCGACATCGAGTATCGAAAATAAACTTTTTCAGTCTAGGTGATCCGATGGATCACGCTTCGAATCTCGGTTCTCCTCGGGAGTGATTCTGAAAACCGCGGGAACTTCTTCCTTCACGAAATTCTGGGGTGGCTGCTGGGACCGACGACTTATCGATTCGGATGCTGATCAACTTGAAATGCGAAGGCGAGGCTCGCATCGAGCGCCAATGATCTGCACGCTACATAGTCTCCCCGGCCGTGATTTTTCGATGTCGCCCCTGGAGAAAAATCTTCCGAGTAACGATTATTAGAAAAATATTCCTCTCGGCATCCCGGAATGAGTTTGAAAAATCTGTTGGCAGGGAAGTGAGGAACGAGAGTTCCTAGACTCCCATCTGGGATGCAAACACCACAACATGATCCCAGAGCGGTGACCACAAACTCTCCTAGAATTCACACGCCCCCGCAATCCTCCGGAATCGATTGCCGTACCTACTGGGCTCCGAGCCTCGAGGACACGATTTCGCCACGGAGCGTATTGACAATTCCGCGGTGGCAGAGTTTGTCGTCCTCGAACCCGCACCGAGTTCGCTCATCCTTATTCGGATGGCGATGTGACGTAAAACGCGAACCTCCGGAACAGGTCGCTGTGCGCGAGATGACAGGTGTTTCTGATCCCTTCCTGAGGGGATCAACGTTCTCCTCTCTCATCCCTGCTCTCAGCGAGAGGGGAGCGACGACACAATGTTTTCGCAGAAAACAACTCCGTTCCAGGAATAGGAATTGGAGTAGAGACCTGATGTCTTCAAACGGGGAGAATTTCTGGATTTCCTCGAGACGGAGGAAGTCTCGCGGATGATGGAAGTCGACTTTCCGGCATCACTCAGGACGAGCGGTTTCACAACGTTCTTCCGATATCATTGATTTATGCTCCGCGTTTCCCAGTGCTAGCTCTTCGGAGCTCTCTTTGTCGGAGGAACCCCATGCCCATTGCTGGTATGGTCATCCGATTCGCGCGACAACACTTGAACACTCGATTTCGGCTCTGTCGTCCACTGGAGGCTTCAATTCGAAGTACGCCGATCGCGGCTTCTCTCAGTGGGAGCCGCGGTCACATTGAGTCTTCCGTCTCGCGGAGGGAGGCGGAAGGTCATCTCGCAAAGAAACCATGGATAGTATTCTACGGGACCGTATCCGAATACCTAATAAGGAGTACGTATGTAGAAAGAACGACGTCTTCTCCCGCCTCAATCGGAGAGACCGCTTCCGTTGCTCCCCATCCACGGGCAAGGGACTCAGTCTTTCCCCGCGAAGCGGGCAGCTGCGATCAAACAGAATATGTGATGAGATTTAGCGCGTCGCGTGTGCTCTCCTTCACGCTAGACGACATCACGAAAGTCCAGAAAGTTTTGCAGAGCTTCGACTCTATTTATTCGTCAACAAAAACTTCCACCAAATATCTCCCCAGTCTCGTACCCGCACGAGAAAACGCGTCCTCCCGAACGCCCTTAAATTCATTTCTCCAAATTCATGCGACTCGACAACGAATGAGCCACCTTACTTTAGGGAACTGTGTGTACATTTCGTCTTACGCGACGCAAGACTACCGACACGGCACTCTGTGCAACCGTCAAAACACGTCGAGAAAAAACCAACCATGATATGTCAGCAGATGAAAGGAGCATCCCCGAGTCTCCACAGACAAGGGAGAATTCCCCTTAAACAATGATGGTGTCGATGATAAATTCTAGTGCGCGAGCCGGAGCTCCTCTCGATGAGCGACCCTCGGTCTCTGGATCACAAGCTTCGATCCTAGACTCATGGGTCTGCAGACTTCGCAGAAACGGAGCACTTTCAGCCCTGCTTCACCGTTTTGGAGACTTTGCTTGACGTGCTGAGCGACTCGGAGCTCGTCTCAGCCGCGGGTTTCGGAAGAATCCTCGGTAGTGCGAAAATGCAGAACGCGCTGAACACGTGTCCGTAGAAGTAAACGTGGCTCCACATGGTGAAAGCTTTACTGAAGCTTAACAAAATGAATGGGAGAGTGGCGTAGGCGAATCCCCACACGGTAGTCAAAAACGTCATCGCGTCATAGAGCTTCTTCATTCGCGTCGAACCCTGGAAGTGGGGTCGCACGTAACGTCGCACATTTCGCGCCGCGAGCGTTTGTACGGCCAACGTCATGAAAGTCAGGTAGTATCCAGGGTAGAAGCCGTGCCAGGCGGCCGACAGGAAGAACGTCATGAGGGTTTTGCTCGTTTCCACCCGATCGTAACAAATACTCCGGAGCCATCGCTGGGTCGAGGTGTTCCACGCGGCTAGACCGTCTCTCTGAGAAAGCGCTGTCTCGACATCCCAGATCCTGATGTTCGTACAACCACTCCAATCGTCGGCGCCGTTAACGTATCTGTATCCGAAGTGCGACGAGTTACAGATGGCTTCCGCCATTTTCCAGATCAGGTAGTACTGCTGTCTCGTCAGAGCGGTGTAGACGAAGAACCAGAAGACTTTCGTGGGCAGGGCCAGAGCTTTGAATTCCTCGGAGAAAAGGAACTCTATGGGGAATAGGGGAACGACGAAGACGACAACCAAAATGCTGAGCACCGAATAAATTGTGCGTTTGAATACGTAGGGCGTCGGATCGGGTTCTTCAAGAGCTTCCCTGTTCTTGGCACCCGAATGAGCGCTATCAGCGATGCCGCTGCCGTTGCTGCCACCGCTGGCAGCGTTTTTGTTGAAAGCAGCCTTGCGTTCGTCGAAAATCGTTCCGTAGGTAACCGCTTCGACCTCTTTGAAAGGGATCAGGGGACCACAGAGCACCATATGGAAGTCGAAAGCGTAAGTGAAATACGTGAAGACGTCGGGTCGTTTTTTAATCGCGTCTTTGAGCATGTAGGGTTTGCAGTTCTGCGACAAGACTCCGTCCCGGAAGCTGAACGCTAGGCTGGTGAGCCTCTGGGTCAGCATCATGAGTGCACCTGGAACAGACGGAAACGTTAGGCAATTATTTTACCGTTGGCGTCGGGTACGCATCCGCCAGTTGCTACATCGAGTCGTCGAGAAAATCGAACGTCATGCCACAGATTGGCGTTCGAGGGACCCCAGGGCTTCTGACTAGGAGGAGACCGGGTCTCCTCGAAGACCGCGTCGCCGAAAGTTCGCACTATGCAGGCGAGAAGAATTCGCCATCCCCTCAAGACAGTGGGAGAAAGAGAAGAATGTCCGGGAGCCGACGATGCTGTTCAATGCTCAGCTAATCGAGCCCCGAACGTCGGCCGGCCGGTCATCGTCTTAGAAGAGTCGTCCCGTTCCGCCACCCGCGGAAGTCGCCGCCCAAGACTGGGTCAAAGTCCGCTGCATACAGCGGCGATCGCTTTTTTTTTCGAAAAATAGCTTCCATATTTTCGATTTCTTCCCTCACCAACAGCGGGGATCGCTAGAGAGGACTTCTACTCGTCCAATGCGAGCCGGTAGACAAGTGGTATATCGAACAGCTGTTTCTCTCCTTTTCATCGAAATGACTCAGGGAGCTGTCGTTCCAATTTGATCACTATGCTCGCCCGCTTCTGCGTTCCAGACGTGGCAACAAGAATCCCCTTGGCGACGTACGTTGCGAGCATCGGATTTCACAGGAATACAAAGCGGTCGGAAGACCAGGGGAGAAGTTCGAGATAAAGAGAGATCAACTTTCCGTGCCCGTTCTCATAAGATCAAGTGAAAACGTCAAAATAAAACTGGATAGAGAACTCACCGGTGATGTCAAGCGTGTATCCTTGGTAGTCGTAGTACATGCGATATCCGTGTAGGATACTCTGGTATCCCAAACAGAAGTAGAGCGAAAATCTCGGCAGAGGCTCGATCGGACAGAAAACTATCAGTAAGTAAGCGACCGTCGTTTGCACAAACAAGTGTATCACATCACCCCCGAAACAAAAATAGAGAACCAGGACTCCAACAAGAAACGTGAAGAGTTTCCTCGCGAGTGGCGTCACTTTACTCGGATGGAGAGCTGTCCTGTAGATGCTACCGATGAGGATACAAGAGAAACCCGCCACTACGTAATTGAGCTTGTCCACCTGCACTCCGGCCGCATCAGCGAGGGGTTGCAGGAGCCGGCTTCCATGGTACCATTCATCCTGCACGACCCAATGTGACATCTTGCAATTTTGTCAACTCGATAGCTCGATAGATCGGTCGGTCGGTCACTTGCCGCAGCATCCAACACCCGACTGGTGAAAACGAAACTTTTGCCGTGCTTCCTATAATCTGTTTGTGTGTAAGTGTGCGATCGTTTGTAGGAGTGTTTCCCGTGAGAGGGCTGCTGCTTGGATCAGTCAGACGGTAGGTCTTCGGGCCGATCGTTCGCTCGCTCGTCGCGCCGCGGGTACCACAACACGACGCACGCCCTTACCACGATTTCTCGCTCTTTCCACTTTTAGAAGCCACTTCTACGGCCAGCGTATTGTTCAGCTTCTCTCTCAAACCCTTTCTGTAGCGGTTGTTGTCGTTGCCGCGTCTGACGTTCCCGCAGCTGTCTGTGACGTTCGTCTTCACGTCGTCGATTCGAGCTCGGTTCCCGACGAGCCGAACTATAGCCACTTTTCGTTCGTCTGTCGCTTCCAAGGTGCGCATCTAGTCAACGGCCGGCGGTATTGTGTTGGCTCTTCCAGAACCTCACACGAAACTTGAGATTTGTCGCCGCATCGCTAACCAGCTTGCCGCCCGTGACCGCTTTGTCGTTGCAGAACTCGACATCGAATCGTTCTCGACGATTCACGGCCTTGCTTCGTTGACCCTTCGTGAGGGAACAGCCTGAAAGGTCACCGGGAGAACTGGAGACTCAAGTGCAGTCGGGCACCGGGTGTTCATGTCGCCGTTCCGGAGCTGGACGTGTATAGGGAAAACGCTTCCGCTATCGATGAGAACAAGGGAACTGATAGAGACCGATGGATGGAAACTGACGAAATCCGTAGTCACGGGATACAGCTTCTACACTTTAGCGGCCCGGTATGGGGTCGAGCAGAATCGATTCGCTTCCCTTCCGCTTCTATGTCCGAGAGGAGTCGTAGTAAAGGAGGTCAGAACCCCATCAGAAGATCCGCCGTATTTTTAGCCTGGAGAGCTCTACGATCAGTCAGCTGATGGACTGGCCCCACGGCCTGATCTGGCTCGCAATTCAGAAGCAGCGGTTTCCTCTGCCTCTCCGGATATATTCGCAGGTTCACATCTCATCGGTGGCGATCAAGAGAAGTGGCCTCTTGACGTTCGAACGATATTAGGAAATTTTCAGAGTGTCCCAATTCGAACTCAAGTCCCCCAGAGGAATGAACTCTCATCGCCCCTCTTCCATTATTATAGTCTCACATAGGACAATCCCACTTTCGAGTGCAACGATTATGAATACCACTAGGTTCCTCGATCCGCTTCGGGAGAGCCGGCTCAGCTCAGATCAGTCGGTGAGATCGGGGGCCTATCATCACTCTTACGGAGTGATTGCTCTACGAAAAACTCGGAGATATCGATAATTATAATCGGACCCAGGTACTTCTCCGGTCCCTCCCGTTTTCACCACGTTTTTGTCCTCTGGGTCGAGCGGTGACCATTCCAGCATGCAGATTTTCCGTCGCCAGAGGGTTCGCAGATACTCGGCCGAGAGTGAGAGAGAACACGTTCGGCTGCCGCCCAGCCGCGAGGAAAAAGAAAAATATATTCTCAAAGGCGATTCACCTCCGATCGATCACGATTGTAGGCTCAGCTGAATTGTGCATAAGAATCGCGCCCGAAGTGATTTATTCGGTCTGAAGGACCCTCCAAAAGGATAGGGGATAGGTCAAATGCATTTCCTTCACGCCCGTCTAGAGGTGTGCTGATTCCTGTGTGGAGTCTGATTGCCCCAGGTTTCAACGCGCTCGGTCGAAGCGTAACCGTCTCGTGGCGCGATCATCACAGCGAGGCGAGGGAGCAAACTCCTCCCGTTCTACAGAACTACCCTATTTCCCCGGCGATGTCGAGAAATGCAATGAGATGGAATGTTGCCGAGACAATATAGCTTCAAAGCAGCGGTTTGTCCCGTGCGAGTCAAGCCGGGTCGAGGGAGCTGATTGGGCCGTCAAGCCAGAGGAATGCATGGGTCGCAGTCGCGGAGATCGAATCGAAACCGTTCAACACCCAGTGTCGCTTCTGTGCAGTATCCCGGTGCAACTTCCCTCGATCACAGTCCTCAATCTCCATGCAATATCGATAGTTATGATGTCAGACCGCGATCACGGAGCGTGCCGTCGCTCGCTAGGGGACGACGCATTTCCGTGCGCGATCGAATCAGCTGACGACAGCTGATCGAACTCCCGCGCGAGATAAGCTCAGGCCTCCGATTCTTCCCAAATTGTCGTTCCAACCTTTCCAACGGCCCGGCTTGTTCGATTGAGGGTGCTCGAGTGACTCGAGAACACGGATCCCTGAATAGGTTCCTGACAATGAAGACAGCTGGAGGGGGAACAAAAATAGAAACACGCTGGAAATTGTGTTCAACCAAAAATACACTCGCGTTCAGAGAGAGCAATTGAGAGTTATTTTCGAGTACGGCCTTGATTATCCTAAAAGAGTGCTCCTACTCCGAGTCCGCGCATGGAGTTCCAGCCCGAGGGGTTCCCGCGCCAGAAGGTGAGGCTCGAGAGCCCATCCGAGGCCTCGTTCTCGAATGTCCCCAGCTCCTGAGCTCTTCTTGACTGAGGAGAATCCTGAAACAGAACCCCCCGCGCGGAGCCCGAGTCCGTTGTCTTTCCGAAAACTCAAAACATTGTAATCTCGTCGCTCAGTCCAGACATCAGAATTGCAACGCGGTGTCTGAGGGCTCTCGGGAGTCAGTAGAGGGCATTTCACGAAATGATTGAATTTCTCCCTATGGCTCCTCTTCTGATTCCGAGGTATCCATACGGGACCGCCTTCTCCTCAATACCGAGGCCAAAGCCAGATTGGTCTGTAGACTATAATGAGTCTGGTCGAGGAACAATTATCGCAATGATAGCCGCCCGCAAGGCACCGAAAATGGAGTGAGAGGTGAGAACAGCCATAGAGTTACTCGGAGTAAGGAGAAAATCCGTTGGTGGGTACGAAGTCTACCTGACCGACCGACCGTCCGTCCGTCACGCTCAGAATCGCGCACTAAAACATCCGCCGGAACAAGCACTCCCAACCGTCATTGCCTGCCTACCGGTCGCTCTCATCGTATAAACAGCGCAGCGGTGGCAGCGTCATAACCGCCATCAAGTTTGTTCCGAATGGGGACGCGTTTTTCAATGAGAAAAGGAAACTAGCTGCTTCGGCGACAGATACGGAATCGTGGGACTGCTGTCTGCTTGAAGTGCGATATGACTCCCGAAGGAACCGATCGAAGCGGGATATCAGCAAAACTCGAGCGGGAAATTGAACGGATGGGATGAATTCCGATTTCTCCCACACCTCACAAAAACACAACCCAGAGTCAATTCGCGGTCATTCGCACATATTCGGGGATCAAAAGATAGTATGCCGACGACGAGTATCCTCGGAGAGATGGCTCGATCAATATCGGTTCAGCATCCGCAATTGAACGATAATTTCGAGAGGGCGTAGCTCTAAAATATGGAGATATTGTGGGCGAGCGAGTCACAGAGGAACGTGATCGGAGACGAATCAGTCAGGCGAGCAATATGGATGACGAACAATTGATTCGGACAGCTTATAAACGAGTGGGTGAATGAATGCCTCCATGAATGGAACAATCCCCGATCCGGATCATGAATGGGGCTCTTCAACAGGCACATACTATAACATTGACCCTCCACAACAGTGCCAATGCTACTCGTTTAGTCCATTCCCGCCGGCGACGATCGTTGGTACCGGTCGGTCGCTCGGTCGCTGGTTGGCTCGGGGAAATTGACACAGAGGACATCCTTTTTTTGGACCGGAAGCTGCGTTCGGTCCAACGGCTCTTTGTGCTTCGTGTAAGCGCGCTTCTGTATATTTGCGTGCGTCTGTGTGTGGGAGTCTCGGTCAAGAGCACTCAACGAATCGATATCTTGCGATTATCAGCCGAGAATGGAAGCGGATCATCCGGAGCGCTGCTCTCAGACAGGGGAAACGGACAGGCACTCCCAAGGTTCTGAAGAACCAGGCTGTGCACTCTCATGGGATTTTTCAAGGGCGCTGAAATTCCAAAGGAAGATGACTCACCGATCTGGACACGAAGGCACGAGCGCATGGCTTCGTACGAAGTCCGACGATCGTGGAGAAAAACTGGGGGGTGTCCCGTATCCGTTCCAGCTTCTCTCACTAATTAATTAGAGTACGTGAACAGCCAGCACTTCGTGAACGCAACCGATACGCCCGGGTTCTCATTCGAAGCACGACGATGAGACGTCGCGTCGTTTGGAAGAGCTCATCCGTGAGCTGCTCTCAGAGAAACAAGAACTCCATTCAGTCGAGAGCAGCCCTCCTTTAGTAATCGTGTACCGAGAGCGATCCCCCAAGGAGGAACGACGCGACGGAACAATCCCTGATACGCAAGAACCGAGAGCGACGTTTAATTGCATATAAGGTTATGTGAAATTCAGAATCCAGCAAGTCAAATTACCGATTAGAACGGAGTACTCGAGGGTTGACTCTTCAGATGGAAAATTCTACGCTCGCAACGTGGGCGAATTCGGGAGCTTCCAGAAGACAAGAGAACTATTTGTTCGCGTGTGTCGCGAATGATGCCAAGATGGGATCATGCTCGAGTTCTGAATGAGATCCGCAAAAGTTAAAAAATACTCCACTCGTATTTCTGCTCCGAAACCCCCATACACTACCGCTCGACGGAGAGCTCACATCTGAATAGAGACCTATTTATATTCCGGTGGACAGTCTCCTTCTAGAGTATTTCGTGTTTGGTCGCTGGCCAGAATCTTGTTTGAAATCGCGAGGGCTCGAAATCTTTCCCTCCGATGACATCGCATCGTCTGACGTCACCGTCTCCGAGTGTGGGCGTAACAAAGGACTGCAGGCTGCTGCAGGGGTGCCATTTGCCTGGGCAGCTGTTGCTCGACAGGCTGCCATGCTCGGCTGCGGAATGCTGGTTGTGGTGCGTTCCCTTATGTTTTCTGTCGAAACGCGCGGAGGGTACTTCCTCGACCAGTCGCGGACCAAGCCTGAGCGGATTTTGTGCAAGACTTAGCAATTGCCTCCCCAAGGATCGAATGCCCCGAGTTCAAACAGCTTGCGTAAACGCAGATGCTAGCGCTCGTATTCGGTGAACCTCTGGAAATTATAATTCCTGAGCTCGGAATTAGCAGAGCTGGAGACTGCGTGGGATTCGAAAGTCCGTTCGGGGACAGGGGCCCGGAACAATGCCGCGGGGTTTTTGATAGAAATGACGCTGAGGAGTGTCGGAACGAGGATAGACTGCACAGAATGCCACTCGCGGGAGTCGAGGCACTCGAGATGCTGTAATCGCATACCGGCTCGCATTCAAGCATTACGAAACGTGGTATCGACTCGTCGTCGTGATTATCTGATTGGAGCTTCGAGACTCGCTATGCTTCGACATGAACCCCTGCTTCGAATGGAACCCCAACTGAGAAGAGCAAGATCGTCCAGAATAAGCTCACCAAGGGTTCATAACCTCGATCAGAGGGATTTCCAGGTCGCCTCCCCGCGAGTGCCGATCGGAAACGGTTCGGTGGCCGACGGTCTCATTGAAGGAGTCGAATGGATCTCTACCGGCCAATTTCTCCCGAGTCAATTGTGAAAAACTTGAGGTTCCCAGGAGCGCCGTTTTTCATTCGGCAATTCTCAATATCGGAACCACTAAGAGAGTGAAACTCAGCTGCAAGTGCTCGTCGCCGGATCATCGAAGTTCTGGGATGAATAATTGAAGCTCCCTATTTCTGGGGTGCAAGTCGAGTGATGCAACATCGCCGACGCGTGCGTCATCCCCCTATTCCGATCGATGAGCTCATAGCGTACCTACGGCTCGGTCAGGCTCGAGAGTTTCCATGATCCGGAAGTGGGGAGCATTGCTCTTCGCAGATGACTGGTAGTAACGCGCTCTCGCGTTGCGTGTCACGGTGTCCCTTCAAAGACGTCGAGTTCCGCGCGGACTCGGAAGATTGTGCTCACGAGTTCGCCTCGTTCTCCAGGGATTGAATGAACTTCGAAGTTCAATGAGGGAACGGTTGAGCGATCGGGGGGAGTTTTCGCAGTTCCAACCCGGGAGGAGGAAATCAGTGAATTCGGTGACGGCAGATCCGGGAGCGTGGGCGGCCACTTCGGGACCTCATCAACCTCCGGGGGAACGAAAACACATTCGAGACAGAAGTCGACGGCGGGATAAGAAAGCAGGAATCGTCGACTTGAAATGAGAGAGAGAAAAAGAGCGGGCGGGGGCGGTGACAGCACAGACACGGATGGGGATCACCGTGATGCTCCTAAAAATAGAAATGAATTCCAAGCAAGAGAGAAATCTATTCAGAGTCGACCGTGTATTATTCACAAACTCGATTCCGTCAGGAGGCCCCCCAGTGGAATCTGCGCCGGCAAGGAAAGGAGGATCACGGGAGCGACCGGACCAACCATGCACGAATTCCGAGATTTTCGGACTCTGAGAAGAATACGTCTGAACTTCATTCTCGTGGGCACCGTGGACGAAATTAGACCCGTCGGACGGAAATAGCTCCCGTCGATTCGATCAAGAACAGCTCTACGCCGTGGGATGCGATCTGCAGAGACGTTCCAAGGCTCCGAGTTCTTGAACAGGAAAAAGCGGATCCCAGATCGTTGCGGAGCTCGATCTGGGATCTGCCGTCGGATTGCCGCGCTCCGAGCGCAATCCGCCGTCGAGTTTCCGATCTCGGTGCGATCCGAAGTTTCCTTAGTTTACTCTAGAGCTTTACTCACAGTTCCGGGCTGAAGAAATTGTACGTTTCATAGATCAGGAGAGTCGTAATGAAGATTATACAGCCGACAGAGATCGCCGCCCCGAAATACGTAGGCTGTGTCAGGTCCGCGGGCACCTTACGATACACATCCAATCTGGAAGAATTGTTCAGGAACGTTTAGTTTTCCTTTCCCCTATTCGAATAACATAGCAAGGAGGATTTTCCAAGAGAGAGGTTTCCAGGAGGTTTAGAAGAAGACTTTATTCGGAGCTCGCCTCGACACCACTAGCCGAGTGAAGAAACCTCGCTCAGCTCATGGAACATCAAGCGAACGATTTATCTAGCCCATGATTTGGAGATTTCAGTCCCCTTGCCCTCTCTCGGACCCACCGGGAGGGCTCCGCGGGCCTGTGGCGCCGGGTTAGCTCCCGGTTTCAGCGGGCCCCGAGTTGGGAAATCCGCGCCAGCGTTGGTCCAGTAGGCAAAGAAATTTCGGGAGGCAGTTCCGGCATCTACACGGCGCGCGAAGGACATGACCGGCCGCGGACTCCGAGTGCGGCACTCTGACCGAAAAACGCCGGGAGGTCAATGCGACGCTCTTACATGTACAATAAGCACCACAGTTTAACCACTGGACTATCTATTTACTGCGTGTAGCGTTTGTCCCCGCTAGTGTTTGTTCGGAGTGGAATGACCGTAAATGGAGATTCGATGTTCTCGCCCTCAGAAGCAGATCAAACTACTCGCAGCTTCGGTATAATCGAGCTGATCTCAGATACTCGCATCAAGAGCCGCAAGGGGAGATGTAATAGGTATGTGGAATGTATGGAGGGGTTATTCGATTCCGAAACAGTTGACTCGCTGAGCGTGGGCGCTTGGAGCGGACTTTCTCATGGAATATGGGTCCCCTACGCAGTGAGATCCATACTGATCTCTTCTTGTCGGAATCAATACTGATCTCTTCTTGTCGGAGATGCCTTGGGGGATGTTCCGCCTCAATGTCGGATTAATACGACGTGCATATCATCGACTGACAACTATGTCGTCCGATTCCCATACAGGAAGTCAATATCCGAATATTATCGACTCATGAGTTGGAGCTCATGGGCCAGAGATCAAAGCGCAACTCTCGAGGATCAACCGAGCCGGCTCATGCCCACCGGAATCAGCAAACCAATCGATGACGATCCCGGTGCTACCGGGAAGAAGCGCGCACGACTGTGACGTCTCGACGATCGGAGCAACGGTTCTCAGGATCTTTTCGTCCGGCCATTGTCCCTTTGAGAGCTTTTGTTTCAAGTCTACGTGGCAGAGAGCCCACCTGTTAGAACTAGGATGACTCCCTCGGCTCAGACCGTCCGACCCTAGAGCACTCGTTCCGTAAGCTTCGTACGCCATAGGCACCGTAGTGACCCATCTTCGTTTTCCCAATGCCACTCACGGAAGCTCTGAACTGATGCTAGCTGGTTTTAGCCCTTGATCGGTCGTCGGAATCTCATGTGTTCCGGCACGGATTATCCCGATCACCGAAAGCTCCGATCAGTGCGTGCGGTAATAATGAATTGAACAGCTGATCTGTCACCAGATGACAGGTCGGCTGGAGACCCACCTCCTCAAATCGAAGCCCATGACAGTAGATTCCGAGTGTCTCGAGTGCGTCGACGACTGGTGGGAGTCCCACAGAAGATACTTTTTCTAATTTGCTCCGAACCGCCACCGCAGTCGTCTTTAGCACTCCACACACACACGTCACAATCTGTCTGCCTCCAGTCGCGGCTGCTGGCGCTGCTCAAAACGTAAACATGCCTCGACGACTGCTCCCTGCTGCGCGCTGCTGTGGCCTGTTGCTGCTGTCTGCCTGCTCCCGCCACCGCTTCGCGGGCGAAAGAATTTGCCTAAGGACAAGCTCTACTCTGAACCAGCTTCGCAATCCCGAGCTGGTTGCTCGTTGTTCGGCTCTTCGAGAACAAGTCGAAAACTTCGGCGGACAACGGGTTGGCTTGCCGGCTGTCTACGTCATTTGACCGCGGAGCAAGATGGCGAAGGGTGCGTCGCCTGCTAGATCGCTGACTGAGGCTCCAAACCCCGATCCTCCAGGCCGATCATCCCCGAATCGCGAATTTTCGAACGGATCCCTCTCCGATCGAGGTGTGCTCCGGGCACGACTCCGAGACAGCGAAGATCCCAGAAGCAAACCCGGGCATCCTTCCGGATGACGTATCGAGGGTATCTACCACGATGATCTGATCCGGAGTTCGGATTAGCGAGGAATCGAGTCTCATGACCGGCCGTCGACGCGACACCATACCGTGGCACTTCGTCTCAGAAAGCTACTCTCCCCGACTCGGAAGACTTCTGTCTTTCATTCCAATTGTTCACGGAGTTCCCCCATCTGAGCGGAGGCTCGAGACCGGATGGACGCACGCTCTCCACCATTGTCTTCGGATCGAGCTTGTTCGAGGAACGTGTGCTTATGATCAGTAGAGTAGACCTATCTTTGTGGATGGGAGATCGAGCTAGATAGCGCGATTTGCTCCCGTACGCTCACTTCAAGGTATATTTTTTCAGGAGAGAATTCGACAGAACGCACATCGTTTAGGAAGCCAGCACTTTCTCGACCCGACGGGATCGAGTGATTCTACTGCCTCGTAGCAATAGGTCCTGACTGAGAGCGGACGAAGCTCATCAGCAAGCGACGGGACCACGGGATTCGCCCTGACGAATTCCTCACAAGCGTCCAGGAGTGTCCTCATAGAGCGACCTATAGCTTGATAACGGGATAGTGGGCCATCGCCCCCTATTGAGAACCTAGGACTTGTCTCGGATAGAAAATAAATATACGAGGAGAGCCAACTCGAGTTGGAAGCTCCCAAAGTTTGCTTCGAAGGCGGTAGGCGCAGGTGCGAACAAGTCCAGCCCCGATAGGATAAAGTGAATTTCGGGTTCGCGGCCCCGAGCCGAGTTCCTTACACCTGTTTTCCCCAAGGGTCATGGAAGACACGTCGCTGTGACATAATGCTGTTTCTTATGGAGTCCATCTGAACAAATGGTCATAGATTGGCGTAGCGTGAGTACACCGGAGACAGCGAATAATGTTGTCGACGACGCGCGTCTCCCAACATGAGCTGGTGAGAACTTGTTCATCTGTATGGAGAGCCGGGCTCAATTCGCAACTTCAACGTCGATTTCGTGATTCTCTGCTGTCAAAATAGCTTGACGTCGCCATGGGTTTTTCTTTCCCGAGCGCGACAGTGCGCTCGAAGAATCCTGGATCGCGGGACTTGATGGCGCAGCTTTTCCCGCGCTAATGTGGAGCGGGCAATGAGAAGCCACGCGCCATCTTCCTTCGCGGTCAAATGTCTTTGCTGTTTCGGCGATTGCCGTCGTCTGCTCCCGGCCCTTGGCGCGCGGTTTCGGCCTGCGGCGGACTTTCCGGATCGGACCGACGACAGGGGCATCTTTCTCAGAAATTCTGACCATAACCGACATATACGCTCCCCATACTCTGAGCGGACCTGGGGTTTCGCTTAGACCACTGCGGGTATATCCTCTCACGGAACGATTACGAAACAATCGACCGCGAGCATTGATCCCTCGCCGAGATCCGAGGACTAGCTGCAGGATATCCGATCCCGGGGAAGATCAGCATCGGTCCGATGGGGTTCGTCGTCTGACTTAGAATGAGCCAATTTTTATCGTGTCAGGACGAGCGCGTGTTCAGTTCCCAGGGTCCGCTCGCTCACAGTATCATAAGATCGCGCCATCTATCACTGAAGTCGAAGGTCCCACAGCTCACCCGCTTTGAGAAATACACTTTCCCGAGAGGTCTTCCCAGATTTCGATATTTATCTACATCTACAATCGACGCAATTTCTACCGAGCGCTGCCTCTCCTAATCCAAGGCTCCAGCGCCGAATTTGAATTCGCGCGCGCGCTTCATTCACTCTCTCCCCCAACAGAGGATCTTGTTGATCACGCGGAGGCGGCATTCCTCCTCCTTCCGAGCCGCGTCCCCAGTTGCTAGGCGAGATTAGCAGCAGCGGACGACGACGATTACGGAGAGAGAGGGTAAAAAAGAAGAAGCAGCAGCAGCGTCGACAGAGCGGCTAGCCCAATCGTTCAGTTGGTGCGTCGGCGTCGGGCAGTGAGGGAGGATGCTAGTACTGTGGCGCAAAATTCAAATCTCGATCTCCTGAAACGGCAATAGTGCGCATCGTCGGCCTTTTGTGTGGCGTTTTCGATCGGTGATCTCTTCATGCGAGTTTTCCTCAACGTGGGAGTTTGTGTCGTCGAGTAGCTCGTTGCGGAGAGCCGAGAGCTCCGTGGAATCACATCGAGACAACAACAGTATCAACAGCAGCGGCGGCAGCGTCGTGTGTGTGCTGTTGTTGCTGCTGCGAATCGAGTCGGTGCTGGCAACAGTCGCAGCAGCATTGTCGGATATTCCCGCGTCGTCGAATCAAGCGTACTTTATCGGAACGCTCCCGACCAGAGTCGGTGGCCTACGTTTAGGCTGACCGCGCTCTGGGCTGGTTAGCAGGCGCGCTGACCGAAGCCGGAGCTTCCAACGTGCGGCAGCGTTGGGATTGTGTGTGCGTGTGTTTGCGTTCATTCGAATCGAAGACGAACTCAGTCGGCGGCCTGCCTATCGGGCCAGATGCCCCTTTTGCTTCAAAATCCCATGTTTGTTGTTGGTAGCAAGGCAAGCACTAAGGGCCCCCGATCGCCTGGTCCTATGCAACAGCCCTACCAGGTCGTGATGGCGTTATCGTTCTCGTGCGAAAACCTTCGAAATCATCTGGAAGAAAGTTCACCGCCGCCTCTCGACGAAGAGTCTCGCATCCTCATCCTCGACTGCAGGACGTTCCTAGCCCACAGCGATCGGCACATCGTCGGCTCAGTGAACGTCCAATGTCCTGCGATCTTGCGGAGAAGACTCGGAAATAAACCTCCCTTACGAACAGTGATCACTGATCGCGAGGTCAGGGAACGACTTCGGAAAGGACTCTACTCTCCGATTGTGTTGTACGAGGAATCTGCCAGCGCGGGACCGAATTCAATGGCGGCCTTTGTAGCGAGATGTCTCCAGAATGAAGCTCGGATCAACAACGTCTACATTCTCGAAGGTAAGTTAAACCATGACCCAATGGAATTGTCATCGACGGTTTCGCGGAGAATTTTCCCATTGCAACTTCATGGCGTTGATCTTCCATGCTCTCAAGGATTCCGGGAGAGCTCGTGATCTGCGGAACGACACGAAATCTTCCCGATTCGTGTGGAATGCAGAGGAAAATTTCGATCTTCAATAGATTGATCTCATCCGCTGATCACGCTAGGTAAAGAGATTCGTCGGCGGGAACCGTGGAATATATGTATATGGACTTGCTCACGGACCGCATAGGAGCATGATCTCGTAGCCCCGCACGTTTCGCACCGTAAGGCTCTACCGGAGAGAATTAACATGTAACTAGGCGTGGAATTCACTCATTCACCCGGCGGAACTACGAGGGCGTCTGATAGCATCGATAGCCATCTCGGGTGCCGGTCCGAGTCGCAAGATACCGAGAAGGACGGAAGCGACGGTCTTGGAAACTGTGAGCCTCCCCCGGAAGCATAACGGCGTGGAACAAGACCAAAGCGATAAGTTTTGGATAAGAGCAATCCTCTCACGACGACACCGATATCTGGCTCACCATTAGCTGCTCGATGAGCTCGATCCAGGCGCGACGATACGGTGCTCCCAATTTCCATGGGATCAGGCTCCGACGGCTGGCGAGCGGTGCTGAGTTTTGCTAATCACGAAAGGCGCCCAGAATACCCAAATTATGACAACAGAGGCTCGACAATGGGATGACTTTCCGCTTAAAATGTTTCCGCTCGGCAGTCATTACCTCGATGGTGTCAAGGTCTTCATCGTACGTATTCAGCGGGAAGAGGCTGAGGATCTGCGATTCGGGCTTCATACGAAAAGATGAAGTTCTCTTGGAACCAATAATGAAAAAACTCTGGTAATCGACGTACTACCCGGCGGACTGACAGACAGACGGATTCAAGGATAGTGCTCGACCGTGTTGTGGATGGTCGTCGGTCGGTCGCTTGGTTGGTTGGTTGGTTCGTTCATTCGTTTCCTCCCTCCCCCTTGCCATTCGCAAAGGTCATTCTTACGTTTATTCAGAAACACTCCTATTGAGTTGTCTAGTCAAGAGGAATCGTGCTTGCTCGACGTTCAATGGCCGCTCCGGAAATCGCTCTTCTGTGAATCATGCCGAAAAATGAGAAGACGGGGAAAATATATAATTCCCGCCGAAAATTGCGATTACGCAGACGCAGAGTAGTCGATTACGGCTCGAAGCTCCGTTTCGATGAATGACTGATGTTCATTCATCTCTCTGCTTCCGAAAGCTGTATCAACGTCTGCTAACTTCCATAGAACGCATTGGAGGGGCCGTTGTTGGAGCACATGTTAGCGGGACGTAAAGAGAGGTTTCTCTGAATGCTCTGCCTTCAAAAATTCCCATCGAATCTCTCCTAATTCCCTAGACGAGGCTTCTGATGATAAACTGTCTTATCATCCCTCCGTACGACACAAACTCTGAGTCTCAGTCAGTCATCGGGGGGCAGTTTATGTTGAGACTCGAGACTTCCGATTCATGATTATCAGGGAGATCGCAGGAGCTTCATTGCCCTCGGGCCGGATCAGGGATTGAGCGATTCATGTTCGATGTTGCGAGCTCACGGTGAATCGGATTTCTCCCGAGTCGATGATCATCGCATTTGAAAATCCATACACCTGTTCCTTGCGATATCCAAGTCGGTCATTGATCCCGTCAATGACTGTTGGACTGTTGGTGACTGATCAATCTTCGGTGTCATATGCATTCTACGCGGGGCTCGATTCCTCATTTTCTCGGGGAACCCGAGAGACTGAAGCGGGAGGAACCATCGATGGATAAGTTTGTTTGTTCGGCTGAGAGTTCCGAGTTTGGCTTCCCGAACGCGGCTCCAGAGTCTGACCCAGTGGTGGACAGGTCTGCATCATTCAAGTTATCGTCGCCTTGAAAGCAGCCGCCGCACCTGTCGCTGTCGAGCCGTAGATGTCCGCGCCGTGTTCGTTTTCACACCGTAGAATGAGATCAAAGAGAGAGCTGTCGTTTGACGATGTACCGTAGCCTCGATTCTTTAATGGACGCCCGTTTGCGAGGCGGCCCATTCGCATCCGTACGTGGGCTCGGTCTTTGGGCGTTACTAATACTTCGCGCGTACTACAAAACCCACACACGTACGCAGAAACGCACGACTGCGCGTACGCACATACTGGCTTTGGTTGCGGCGCCAACGAGCACAAAGATGTCGCTATCTTGGCGCTCGAAGTCGTTTACGTGCATCGAGGGAACACACGTGAGCTTCCGTCGAGGAATCGGCGCTTGAATGATCCCTGACGTGATGTTTATGACCGCATCTCCGAGAGACGGTATGTGCTCATTCGATTCTCGATTCTAAAGCGTAAATGAGCTCCTGACGCAGGTTCCCATTCTCTCAGGTCCCTCAATGATTTTACGAGGATCACGTCAACTGAGAGATTCGGTCGCGTTTGATAAAGTTTACTCTCGAGCTATGAACAGGCGACTATGAAATCGATCCGTGACAGTGAGAGCGAAAGGGAGCTTGGCGAGGTGGCCGTTGGCGGTGGTAGCCATAGAGGAATCTAGGATCATTGTTTTCGGTAATCTGACTCAACTCGTTCCTTCATTCATTCCGATATCTTCGTAATCTGACTTTGCGATTCTATCCAGTGCGCATGACTTCCCGGAAGCTCCTCCTAACGCCTATATAGGTCAGAAACCTATCAGTCTATCGGGTCTCGCAGTGCGGTAAACGCTCAGAGGATCGATCGTATCTGCAAGGTTCACGCCGAGAATCTGATAAATTCCAAATCCAAGCCTCCATCCGCCGCCATGGCCGGTTCTGATTCCGGAACACTTACCACGTCCTCGGTCTCCCTTCCTGCCGGAAGAATCATTGGCTCCTCACTGGAAATTTTTCGCAAAAACGTAAACTGAGTAGATGAACTTTCGAGCGATTTTTCCTCTAGAAAATCTACATCGATCTCTCTGGAGATGACCTTGCAGTGATCTTTGCCGGCTTTGCGCCGTGATTTTATCAGAACACTCAATGAACAGCTAGTGGGAGCCCTCTCTCAGCGTGATTTCAGTGATGATCCGCACCACGTCTTCGAATGATCGTTGAATAGCTGCGTGCCATTCGCTCGCTGTCTCACGTAAACAATGAGCATTGAAATCTCTCGTCGACTTTCGCTGTATCTTATCCTATCCTGTTTCCTGTCAAATGTTTACAACTCGCGGCTGCTGCTTTCCGTTTCGCCATGACTCCCATACTTATATTAGCGGTCGACGTCGATCCCGATACCGCCACCGTCGTCTTCGTGCAAGAACTTGAATATAAGCTCGGTCAATATAAATTCGATCACGACGGCTTGTCGGCGGCCGCCTCCATTGAGGATTAGTTCCTGGAATCGTAGCCAAGAGAAATTTGGCTCCTGAAACACACGTTTATCGGCCAGAGGGAAGCGCTAGAAGTTCCGTATTGTCTGCAAGTCATTATTTTCTTCTGGAGGGAACCCGTGTCGTGTACTTCGTCGTGTTCATCGGAGAAATCGAATATTTTCGGCCGGACCTATATCTGACGGATGTCGCAGTGGGAACCGAGGAGCCTCCATCTGACGACGACGACAACAATGACAATATATATGGCCTTCAGGTCCCTCCGGTGTAGCTTAGAGAACTTCTGTCACGCAATACTCCAGGTTATCAGCGGCACCGACGCCGTCATCGACTTCATTGAGCTGAACAGAAGCTCCTTCCAAGCAGGGCTCCTTCGCTTCGAGCTGGAATTACACATGTCAAATCAGTCCGCAAGGGTATGACTTGCCTATTGTTATGTCCGGGGGACATTCCTCACTTTGCAACCGCTCCCTAAGTTCCACGCCCGTTCGGTTGTCTGTCCGTCCTCGGGTACTCTCGTGGAGTCGCCGGAGAGTTCTGTTGAGGTTTTGTAAGTTCTGCTCCGATTTTGCTTTCGTCTTCGGCACCCCGGCATCGGCGCGCGAGGTGTTCTCGTAATCGCCATTGGAGCGATCGAATATCTAGTCGGTCGTGACGAAAAAACAAATCGATAATAGTCGATTATGAGTATTTCTCGTTCGCAATTATCGCAAATTGCTTGTCACAGGAAAAGTGACGATTGAGTAATAGCGTCCGCCGAAAGCTGCTGCTACCCAGGCAGCCTTTCGTCGCAGAACACACCGATGTACATGCATGCTTCTCGATCACAGCCGACGATCCCAGCTCCACGGACTCCCACAAGCGGCGTGACTCCCAAGCTCTGCTTAAGGACGCTCATCGGACGCTTATGTTTTCCAAGCCACTTGTCAGTAACCCAATGTAATTCGCAGAATTAAACAATTTTGACGAAAATGAGAAGTCAAGAGCCAAAGACCAGTGATCGTTCTCGGCAACCGTGCTCGATTCCCGTATCCGGAACTTTGCCATAAAAGTACCGCATACGATTGAACCCATAAATGTCAGGAGCTCCTAATCCGGATCGGCTGTAATTGAATGCATGCCGATTCCTGCTCAACAGGTGCAGTGCGCCTCGCGAGATTCAATTCGATCATTCGGAGGGATCCTATTCCCCGATCGAATCGGAGAATAAAAAGCTGATGGCAGTGATCCCCTGAAAATTGTGTGAGAACTTGATTCTCGAGCCGGGAGGAACTCCACATGCGGAAGAGAGTTCGAACACCGATCCCAGTGTCGAGTGAGCCTCCCCCGATTTCCGTTGCTTCCGGCGATCAGGGCAATCACGGGCGACCTTAGCAGACTAATGACTCACGCGCTGCTGCGGTTTGATATTTCGTCGACGCCGTATTCATCGAAACATATCGACGAGTATGAATAGGTCGCCAGTCAACCGTGGGGATTCCGAGCCTTCAAGCCTTGTTGGTCGTTCGAGCGAGCAGTTGAACGGGCGGGCGGAAAACGGTCTAGCGAGTCAAAGTCCACCGAGTTTGGCAGTGACGCTTGATAAGGATCCGTACTCTAGAGTA